CACCTCAGTCACTTTCCTCGTCGCCCCAGTGTCCCAGGGTGAGGTGAAAACAAGCCACGCCATGCCAGCCTCTGAATTCTTGATGGGCGCTTCCCGGAATCAGTGTGGCTGGGGTGACGGGCTTGGCAGGTGCAGCATTTTCCGAGCCTTCCCCTGGGTCAGGTGTCAGGGCCTGTGGGGAACCCCAATTCAAAGAAACCCCTGCAGGCTAAATGCCTTTTTGTGAAAACTCTTCCTCCAGAAACATTTTTCCCCCAATGGTGAAGCAGCCAAAAAATATCTAGGCATAGAGGTGAGGAGGCCTTCTCCCCACCGAAACACACTGAGCACCAGCCAACAGGCTTTCTACGAAGGAAGCTTCTGGAGGTCAGGTCTGGGGTGTCCGCACATGTGCAAACATGACTGCTGTTTTCTGGTAACATAAAGTGAGTTCTCAGCCATCTGCTGGTGGTGAAGGGCAGGCCATGATGGGCTTTGCCCCGCGGGGCGAGGTGCCCCTGGAGGGGCAGAGTGGGGCACACCTGCTTCTGGCCGGAACTTTGCCAACTGTCAATTGTTTTGCCAACACCCAGCCCCTTCCACATGTCCACATGCTGAAGGAGGCCTAATCGTAGTGGAGAGCAGGTGTAAGGAAAGGGACAGTCACTCGGGTGACCTCGTAACACAAGGTGGCCTCTTCGTAAACAACACAATTATTGCCTCCAAACCCCAACTCTGAAGTGTTACTAGCTGTCTTTTTCTTAAAGAACCATCATAAAACTTTAAATGTGCTGCTTCTTCAAAAATCAGAATGGTTATTTCATTGGAGGTTCTGCTGCGTTTTTCTTCGAGTTGGTTTTAAGAGTCTGACAGGTGTTGGGCTGAACTTCAGGGCATCGCACAACAGGCCTGAGGGGGGCGTCAGGCACAGGGGGGTGCAAGCTGGACAGAGCACGCGGCCTGAGTCCTATCGCTCGCTGCCTGCTGGACGGCCCTCAACCCAGGACCGCGCTGCCCGGCCTGTGAGTCCATCATGGGGACAGGGTGAGCCTGCTGGCCTGGGCAGGGTGCTGCACTGCAGTCCCATCAGGCACCGCTCTCCACCCCTCCCTCCCCCCCCTTCTCTCCCGCCCTGTCTCCCTCCTGCACCCAGAATCCCAAGGCCACACTTGACTTCCCGGCATGCTGAGCTTCTGAGGGGAAGTCACGGGAAGGCACGCTGAGCGGTTAAGTATGGTCCAGCTCCTCCAACAACCTGAGGCCACCGGAGGGGACCACTTCCCGAGCGGGCATGTGGCAGAGGACCCCGTTCCACTGGGCAGGGGAGCAGAGCGGAGGTGAGAGCGTCTCCTCCTGTGTTACCTCTGGGACCATAAGAAAGGTGCAAAGTGGGGTTCCTGTTACAGCATTGGGGGGAGCTGGGAGGGGGCCCGGGTGTGTGGAAGGAAGTGGCCGCCCTGCCGAGCCTGGTCCCTGAGCTGCACCCGGAGAGCAGGGCCTGAGTGACTGGACGACAGGGAGGCTGTATTCCAGTGAGTGGCCTGTTTTCATTTTTAATTGACTCCACACATACAATACACGATTAACATGAAAAGATTAAATAATAAAATACATTGGGTTACAACCAAAGCTATTAAAAATGGATACATAATTATACACATTTACATACAAAAACATGGCAACCAAGAGGGGCAGTTTCTATGAATGCCAATAGTGTGGTGGCTTCAGGATGTGTTTCGATGCCCCGTTTTCCCCATTTTGAGTTTTTTCAGATGTACACTCAAGATTTAGGTTGAGGTGATCTCAGAGCAGCAGTTAACGATTATTTAAGAAAAAAGGATTCTTAAGACCACAGAAAATATTAAAAACAAAAACAACAGGTCGTATATCAGCTCAGGGTGGCGGGAGGCAGCTACCCTACTCTCCTCCTCTTCCTCCCCAATTCCCACTGAAATGCACCCAAAGGGGGATAACGGGAGGCCGTCTAGAGGGCGGCTGGGAGGGCAGAGCCCAGAGCAGCGGCCGGCGCCTGGGCAGGACGGGTGGTGGCAGCTCTTAGGGTTCGCAGCTGCTGGGAGGCTCTTACACACCGGAGTCCCAGTTAGCACTCCGTGGGTTTGGGGACCGGCCCGTCCTGTCCCCCACTACAGAGCCCCTGGAAGGTGCTGAGCAGCACCGCCTTTCCCAGCAGGGCAACTGGGGGCCCACCTGGCCCAAAGTGTAAACCTCAGTGTGCAGGACCATAGGGGCAGGGGTGGCCTGAGCAGCACCTGCCCCGGGTCTGTCTGTCGCTCACACAGCCCACTGTTCATCAGTGCAAGCAGACACCTTTATTTTCATAGCGCACAGCTGTGGCGTCTCTCGGCGGCGCCTCGCCCAGTCCCACCTTCGCCCAATGGAGCTGCTTACTAACTGTGCCGAACAAACTGATCCAGATACAGTGACGCAGCTTCGAGTCACGGAAACAAGCCCAGCGCGCAGCGACAGAAATGTCCTGCTATGCAAATCGGCCTCCCTAAAATTCTCTTCAGAGGCAGGAAAGGGACTCCCTGTGCGTTCCACAACCAAAACCACGCCCACCTGGCTTCTCTGAGCAAGTGTCGGCCACTCGGAAGGGAACAGTGTTCAAGGTGACGGCTCTCTTACTTTCGACACCCCCTAACTTTCTAGAACATCCCTGATTGAACCCTTTCTTGTATCTGGGGTCTTATCAGGAAGCTTGATTGAGCTCACATTTATGAGCTCTATTCACACTACAGATTTTTTACAATATGGTTCCACACGAGAACGTGTTAGGAATATTATCTGAAAAGAACTGAGAATGCTCAAGTGGGCAGGGTGACGCAGTCACGGCTCCTTCGCACGACTGGCCCATCAGGAGAGAACCTTCCCGCCACGCTTACCCACCTGGCCACTTTTTCTTTGGTCGAAGCGTTTTGCTTCAGGGTCATTAAAAAACACCCAGGGAAGAATCTGACCAAACAGACAAACTATCTGCCTCTTTTTGGGGTGTGTAGGGGGTATGCTCTCAAATACCACGGATTTGACGTTACCCTTTCATCCTTTTTCTCTTTTGCTTTGGAGCTAGCAGGCCTGGCAAGAACACGAAGTGCATTCAGCACAAGTGGAAGCCGGTCTCGCTGACAAGGCTCTCGGGGTGTGCATGCGCCCGGCTGGTGCAGCTCGTGGGCCAGTCTGCAGCGCCCTCTAACGGCCACAGTGCAACTCTTTCCACCCCCAAGTACAGACCCTGTCTCACTCCCCTTCTCTTCAAGTTAAATGTGCGGGTGACACTGCTACATCCCATCTTAAAAAAATGAAGTAAGCGCTGTGACCAAGCTGTCTCAGTGGACAATTACAGCCTGAAGTACCTTCTATGTGCTGACCGCTGGGGATGCACAGCCGAGGGCTCCTTGGGACTGCACGTGGGGACAGGACTCAGGTGTCTACTACGGTCACCGGCCACGCTGCTCACCGCCTCACCGCCCACGCAGAACCTCTCCTCCGGCTCCCGGGCCGTTCGGTGCTGCCCAGCGGCCAGCCCAGAGCGCAGCCTGGCATGAGTCGCTGCAGGGGCACCGTGCCAGGCCTGTCAAGGGCAGCTAAGGGCTGCGGGACCCAGCTCGGGCGTCCAGGACCTGTGTGTACAGACCCGACTGGAGCCTAAAGCCCCACACAGCTCCAGGTCCAAATGTTTCACTGTTTCTTTAAAATGATAAAACCCCACCACAATGTTTGCCTGAGCACCAGAAATTAAATTCAGTAACAGCTTAGAAGTGCTTCACCCTCTGAGGGTGACACAGCACTACCGGCGAGTTCAGGTCTATTTGTCATCAGGTCACAACACAGCAGATGCTGACGCGCCAACGCCGCGCACCCAAGGGTCAGAGGAGTGGCAGCCGGCAGAATATGTCAGGAGCTGGCTACACACACATAAACCCGCTGAGGTTCAAAAACATGTGAGCACATGACAAGCCCCTCACTAGGCTAGTTCTCCCAAAGGCGCGTCTGCAGACATGCTCTGCTCTCTGCCTGACCTCCCTCTCACTTTGCATCGCTACGTCCACTGTTACACAGGAAGTGCCAAGGTCACCACGGCCACAGGGGACAAACCCCATCACCACCTGGCTGCCTCACCTGGCCCCGTGCTCCAAGCGCAGCTGGCCACCTGCCTGCCTTCTGGGCGCCGGCAAGGAGACCACCCACCACCTCCTGCCCTCCCCGGCGTGTCCTGCTCCGCCCAAGGTAGCATTTATGGTCAGCACTGCCACCACCATCCTCTCTCCTCTACCTCCCGACAGGTCTCAGCCACAGAACAGCCAGTGACTGTATCTCATGTGACACCTCTGCTCAAGTCTCCCAGGTCCCAGGGACTCAGCTACCGGTGCAAGCGGGCCAAGGGCACCTCCCCATCCAGGCTGTGACACTCATCAGGCTCCTCCTTGCAAGGCTGGCTCCCTCCTCTCAGGTCCTGGTTCAAGTGTGACCCACGGGAGTCCCCCTTGACCAACACCGAGAAGGGACCGGGCGTCCCCTGCTCTTCTCCTACGAGCTCCAGGCTCTCACTGAACTCACCCACACTTCCGACCGCTGAGTCACGGGCGGCTGCTCAGGGCTTTTCTCTATTGACGTCACAGGGCCTTTGGGAACTCGCTCCTCGCGGCCTGCTCAGTAAACACTGGTGGGAAAACGAGCACCCCAACCAGGAACTTGCGGGGGCTCCGCAGAGCTGTCCGGAACCCTCACTTGTTACAATTATTAAGGGACGTGAGTAGACTAGTGGTCAAACGTTATTTGCAAAGGGCGAAACTAACTGAACAAACACATCTGACGGGGAGGGCCCCCCGTCTCTACGCCACTGAGAGCCTGGCGGAGCGCAGGGCCGGTGGGACACTGGCCACGCCACGTTTCGGCCCAGCAGCGGAGTCTCCTGGGGCGGCCGCCGCCTTCTGTCTGTGGCTGGAGAGCTTTCTCCATCTTTGGTTAGACTCTTTACGGATCAGAACAATCATGTACATGGCTTACTTTTATTTTTTATTATAAAAAACACATACAAGAGTTTTAAGAAATGATGAATATAAGACAAATCAGAACCACGGTGAGTTATGAAACCCATTTTCTCTGTACAAATACTAAAATTCCGAAGTGGAATATGACTGAATGTGAAACACATTGTAGCACTGTCCGTATGTACACGGCCCAGGGCTCGGCCACTGGCTCGGTCTGTCCGCATGTGCCACTCACGCCAGGGCCGCCCGCGCTGCTCAGCCGCTCTCCCCTCCTGACACAGCGCTGAATGGCGCGGGGAAACCGCACCAGCATGAGTTTCTGAGGCTGTCCCGCTGTGCTCTGCCCCAGCTGCGCGTGCTCCCTTGGCCACCTCCACAGCCCGTTTCTGGCTAAGGTGGCGGGAGGGTCATCTAATTCTCTTTTAGCTAACTGAGTTTTTCCTATTCATTCCTTTGAGCGCAAAGCCCAGAATTAGCTCAGGAACCAAATCAATGCTTTTATATTAAATTCATTATAAAATGCCACTCATTTTAAAAAGCTAAAAGGACACTTTCTGCAGCAAAAAAGGGCTAAGTTCAAGTGTCTGTTGTCTGACCGAGACACAGTAACACACCACAGGTCAGGGCCCCGCGACACCGGCTGTGACATGCGTGTGGTTTAGAGCCGGCCGCGCCACTGCTTACGCCTCCGGCCTCCTGCCAGCGGGAAGAGCCCCGTGGCACGCTCTCTCGGAACCTGTTTGCATTCTGACAGCTGATTAATCTGTTTGTACTCAGGACATGTGAAGGCACTTCTGCGACGCCGTGCAGGCTGCGGTTTAGCCGAGCCCGTCCCCGCACAAGGCGCTGACTTCCTCCAGGGAGCTGACCACTGCACACGGGACACTGTGAGAGGCCTGTTTGCTCCACGCTTCCAGGATCTGGGATATTTCCGCTGGATTGCTGGGACTCAAGTCACAAAGAGCGTACACGGCTGCCAGCTGTATGCCCCACGGTATGTCTGAAAAGCATGTTCACATGGGTCATTATGCAAGACAATGTTATACAAAATTTCAATGGTGCAATCTACCTAATGCTCTTCAAATACAGAACACTCTCTGCCAGCAATGAAAATTAAATATAAAGGACCCACAATGAAAAACTTAAGACCTGTCTGTAAGTGGGGAAGAGAATGCAAACAGCATCAGGGCTCTCTGCAGGTCCCCAGGGCTGGCCTGTCCACCAAGGGCCGCCTGGGGATTAGCAGGGGGTGCCCAGCCGTGAAGCCCCTGCCTCCACGACCGATGCCAGCTGAGCCTTCCTAAGCAGCTCTGGGAGGATCACACGCCCATATTTAAGTTTTAATAAAATGTGGATTCCCCAAGCATTCGCCAAATAAATGACTCCTTTAAATATCCACTGGAAGTGTTTACAAATGGACTTTGAAAATGAAAACATAATGAAACGAAACAGTGACGAGCTGCCCTCATATCCTACTTCCGCACACGAGGTTACAGTACATGGCGGTAGATCAGAGCACATGACTAGTTACAGCTAGTTACAGACCACGGGGCATTCCACTTCTCATGCAGCAAAGGTTATGGAAGAGTTATTCCATTAAAACTCAATTTAGTTCACTAAAATAATTTAGTTAAAAAACTTAGGTGTGATTAACATTTATTATGTATTTTAGATTACTGTTAGTGATTTGATAGCCAACAAGACAAACAGCTACCACTTAAAATAAACATCACAACACCCACACATTCAAATGTCAATGCTGAACATGGAGCTAGCACTGCATCTTTAAATTCCCTCCCTGACTCTACCAGGCAATTAGAGAGGCAGAGTGAGGCTCACAGCAGGACTAAAAAAGGAAAATAAAAATGCCTAGCAGTAAGAGAAACCCAGTGATTCAGAAAACAATTTGAATACGCAAGAAGGTGCGGCCAGGGTGAGGCACTGGGCTCTGGGCCCAACGTCGCCGCCGCAATAGGGCCGGCCTGCAGCGTACACCCCTCCCTCGCCCCGCTATGGGCAGTGAGAGGCAGAGTGCGGCACCCACTGCGGACTCAGGCGGGTTTAGTAAGAGGAATGCATGTGATTCACAAACAGAAGCGTTACCTTCATCCCGGGCGTGCTGTATGAACATACCAATGACAGAACTAATGTTTTTCACAGCAGATGGAAAGCCTTCCTTCAAACCCAATTGGCCTAAACGACCTAGGGAAAAAAATAAACCAAAATATAAACAATCTTTGGTTAAATGTTTAACTTTTCATAAGAATTTGAAATTTCTTTTATTTCGTAAAACATTATGTACATTAAGCTTACTGATCCTGAACTTTAGTTAAAATGGGTGCCTGTTCTTTGGTGAAAACAGGCTAGTGAAGCACCAGGGCTCAGAAATGCACCACCTGCCTTATGGGGTGGACCAAAATGCCTAGTCGTCTCCTCATCCTCACTCGTACAGATGCTCTGCTTCCCAGCCAAGTTATAACACAAATGGAATGGACAGGGGTGAATGGTTTTGGCAGGCTCAATGTGAAATAGCCAACTCCTACTGGGTTAGACGGACTCGAAGACTGCGGTTCCATCAAACACACACGTTGTGGCTGTAACGTGGTGTGTGAGACAATGCTGTCACAGCACGGAGTGCGGTCCTCAGGCCCCCTGGAGTCCTCGAGGTCAAAACTGTTTTCAGGACAACCTAGGGTTCTGAGCCTCCCGACCCAGAGCTCAGACGTGGACTGACAGGGAAAAGCGATGGCTGATCAAGGACCCTCGCGAGGCCTCTCATCGCCAGGAGCCTCGGTCAGAGCAGCCCGCCTCCCTGAAGGACGTCACAGGGGATCTCAGGAAGTGCAGTCCCCTCCCCACAGGACTTTGAAGGGTGGCAAGTGCATGGGAAGCTTGCCCACTGCACACCTGGCATGCTGCTCGTGTCCGGGAAGGCACTGCACACATCTCAGAGGGGCGGGGAACCCGCTACGTCCTCCACAAAACAACCACTTTCCATTGAAAGAATGAGAAACTGTGGCTATTTAGACCGAAGCAGACATTTTCTCAAAAATGAATAAAGCGAGCCTGTCACTGCAAGGAAATCTGTCATTGTTGGCAACGATAAAATTTGAGGCTTTAAGCAAAATCAGAATTTTAGAAAAACTTCCATCAGCCACCCTGAGCTTGACAGCTTCAAATACTTGAGACTTCTCTGATGACGTCAGTGATGATACTAATTAATGTGTTTTCTTGATATTGCTGACACTTGAAAGAGCTATGTGAACCAGTATCTCCAGGTGAGTGATGCACGTTACAAAATCACAAAGGGTTATAAAGTCCCTTCTACGTACAAGTGGCGCAGAGCAGCGGGTTTTAGCGTAACGCAGAAGGAAGCGCACGGTAACGAGCCAGGTTTCACCGTGCAGCCAGCCTCTAAGAAGGAAGAATGTCCACAGCTACTGGAAAGACGACAAAAATACGCCTCCTTTTATCTATTCCATCTCTGTGTGAGGCTGGTTTGCTTCACGTATTTCAACCAAAACAACAGGTTACAAGAGACTGAATACAGAGCAGAGGAAAAGTCAGCTGTTCTCACTGACCCAGACAGGAAGGGGTTTGCAACAGACAGTGCCATTCTTGTTACTGTTACTTTTTATTTGTTTTGGAAATATAATTGTTTTTCATTAAAATTACTATTTATGTTGACATGAGTATTCCTGTTGGTTTTAAATGAGTAATTAAATATTTAAAAAATTTCTCAGCTTTAGTTTCTACTTCAATAATAATGGAAAGCTAGAACCTGGAGTGACTGAAGCTCCCCTGGGTTCTCACTAGGGGGACGGAACTCAGCTGCAGGCTGGAGCCCCAGGGCTGGCGCCTCCATGCAGCCCTCTCAGCTGGGTCTTTCCTTCAACCCACTGGGCCCGTGCGCCGCCTGGCTTCAAAGCGGGGCCCTGCGCTCCCTGGCCAGGCCCGTCCTCTCACAGGAGGACTCGGGGGACACAGCTGTGGTTCGTCGATCCTGTCCTGTGCCCACATTCTCAACACGCCCGTGGGGCACCAACAATTGACAAAGATGACGCAAAAATTTCCTAAACAGCTGGGAAGAAAAGTCCCCCCCCACAGAAGTCATGTAAGTGAGCCCAGGGTGGCTCAGCCACATTAAAGCGTGATGTCACTCGCCACGTCAGAGATAACAGCACATGCTCCACGCACGCTCGGGGAGCGTTAGCAGGGCTGAGGGCAGCAGGGAAGGCGGCCCAGCCTAGAGCGCGGGACTCACCAAGTCCCAGTCCCTGGGGTTTTCATTCCCGATTTAGAAACAGGTGTGCTAAGGAAGCGGAGAGCTGAGACAATGCCCTTGAAAAGCTCCAAGGCCAGGAAAGAGCACGGACAGAAATCCCCACTCAGGTTTCTCCCTGCAACGCGACACTGGTTTTCAGAGCGACTGTGAACACATTCTTCTTAATTCACGTATGGGTTGCTTGCTCTTGTGTAGTTTTGTGTGAAGTCTGAGAATCTGTATTTTTACAAAAGCTTCTCAGGCGATTTGGACAGTCCGCCAACTCTGACAGTGTCACGGGCTGGCTGAAGGATGAGGCCACTTTTTGAAGTGTGACTTCAAAAAGAACCACTTTCGTCTGTAAATTCCAGAAACTTCAGCTATGCATTTATAGGCTTAGCATCGCTCCTAATGTCTTATATTCTCAAAAAGGTTTTGCAATTTAAAATGAATAGGTTCAATGTATAAAACCACTCTTTCCCGAATCCCTCCGAGACTGTGCTACCCAAACCAGGCTTTCCAGACACACAGGTGCCACATCACTGTCTCTGCTGAACACTCCCGCGCGGGCTCTCCTGTGTCCGCACTGCTTCCTGTTCGGGGCTGACACTGACCTTCAGGGCATCCTGAGCTGAGAAGTTCAGCACAGGGTGGCCCCAGGCAGCACCCAAGAGCACTTTGTTCAGCTCCATTTACACGCCTTTATCTATCTGTGCATCAATCTCTCCTAATCCCCACAGTCTTCACACTGCCTGGTTTGGTACTTTTGGTTCTTTATGGTGAAATGAGATGTCAACCTTGAACCCAGGTGGTAATCTGGAACCGTTTTACATGTCTATGTGTCGCAATGTGCTTATGTTTGCACGTGAAGTGTGCACAGAGCAGGAACATATGTTTACTGACATAGTAACAAAATTAACCAAGGATAGTACATTTCCTACAGTGATCGATTTACACGGCTGACTTATACATAAAACTTCAATATTCCTGAACTTTATTTCAAATGGTATTATCTCGGAGCTCTATGTAAACTTCAAAGACACTAGAAGGCCATGATAACTATCTTCGAGGACCTAAAGGGCCTTCAGGCAGAAAGGAGAGGAAGCTGGTGCTGGGTGCCCTGGGGCAGGGAGCCAGTGCAGCTGCGAGGGAAGCCCGCTCCACACTGAGAGCCTGTGACCCACAGGCCCCGCGGCTGAGCTCCGCAGGGCCGGGCAGGTGGGCATGGAGAAGCAGGCAGGGCAAAGCAGAAGGGTCTGCAGGTCCGAGGGAGGCAGCACCAAGGCCACCGAGGACCTTCTTAGACCAAAAATAATCTATGTCTCATTTAAAGTGTTTCTAAACAATGATTTTAATTTCTGTATATTCAGCTTAGAGGAAAACAAAACTAGTTTCCAATGATAGAAGTACATAAAATGATCCTTACTGGGTAAGTATGAGAAAAATAGTGGTGTGATGAAGAGTGGGCAGGTAGCCTCATTTTAGGGAATGAAAAAGACTACGGTATAATTTATAGCAATTTGTGTGTCCTGGTGTGTCTATGTGTGCACCTCTGTGTATACTATATTAGCATCTGGGTAGCAAGACTTCACTTATAAGTCAAGTGTACTAACATTAAACATCTTAGTCTCTGACAAAAATGAATAAAATCATTCACTTATAACACAAGAGTATGTGTTAGGAGAATGAATCACGTGCAAAGCATCTACTGAAGGCTGTCAAGTCGGTCATTAGGTGAAGTTCCGGTCTACAGAAGCGATCGCACACTTCCTTGCTCCCCACCAAGGAACCATCAGCAACAAGAAAGCATTCAGTGAGGGCGATGACTCACCAATGAGCCTCAGTACTGACGCTACAATAACGTCAGGAGTGTAGGCGATGTTCGCGTGTCCTTTTCGGTATTTTATCCACTTGTCCATCACCGGCCACAGCTCCTTACTGGAATGACAACACACAGACACGCATATGAAAACGGCACGCTCATCATCACTCAAATGTTAAGGACTGACCTTAAACATGGCCTGTGAGAGAGAATTAGTGAAGGCGTGGGACTTCTGAAGACATCACTTTTTAGGTTAAAATGAGAAGACGCTGGAAGCCTGCGCATTCCCCACCTAGTCAGGGCATCTGTGCCCAGACTGGCTCAAAGGAGGCCGCAGACCCCGTGCTTGCATCTTGCCTCTCTCTTTCAACCCTTTCTACAAGATTCTGTGTAGAGCAGCTGAACGCTGTCCCCAACTCACAGAGCCGGAAGTGGAGGGATCTGGGTTTTCACTCAGGCCTTCCAGGCGTTACTGCCAGGCCCGTCCTGGGGACAAGCACGGACAAACAGGACCAGCAGAAAGAACCAAACTACACTTCAGAGCAGCGGTTCTCAACCTTCCTAATGCCGTGACCCCTTAATACAGTTCCTCATGTTGTGGTGACCCCCAACCATAACATTATTTTCGTTGCTACTCTATAACTGTCATTTTGCCACTGTTATGAATCGTCATGTAAATATCTTTTTGTTTTCCGATGGTCTTAGGCGACCCCTGAGAAAGGGTGGTTCGACCCCCAAAGGGGTCGCGACCCACAGGTTGAGAACCGCTGCTTTAGATGGATGAAAGAAACTCTCTGCTCAGTGACAACAGTGCCATTTCCTCTCTGCTTTCTCTTCTTTCAAAAATGTGTTTCGTTCTTATATAGTATTTACATTAGAAAAGTTAAATGCAGACGAACAACAGAAAAATGGAAATTAAAAGCACCCCAAGTAACGTCCTCAGATAACGCCTCTCTTCTCATTCGGGGCTTCCTGTCCACACGCTGCGACGTGTGCATGTTTACAAAAACACAGTGGGCGTGACCGGTGCTCCGGAAGCAGCGTCTGGCGTTGCTCAGACACGTCCTGATCGTCACACTGCCCTCATCGCCAGTGGAGTACCCTGACAAAACACCTTTGACTGGCACCGTCCCAGGCGGTCTCCTCCGTCACTGGGGACAGAGGGCCCTGCTCCCATGATGAGGCAGGAAGAGGAGGCCCACAGTAGGCACGCACACGTCATTACACAGATGACACTGGACAGACTTGTCACTTTCTTAGTAACAGACTATGAAATACTTCCATGTCAATACATGAAACTCCTTAATTTAAGGCTATTTGAATATGGCCATATCTCATTATATAAATGTACCTTAATTCAGTTCTTACTGTTGCCATTTAGATGTAAAATCTTTCCCTGGTGTTGAGGGGAAAAAATGAGTGGAGAACAAATTTCCATAGAATACAGTCCTCAAGTATCTCAAGAATAGGGTCGGATCCTTGGGAGAATCCCTTCCACTACCATAAACTCCTTCAAAACACCTTTCTCAGGCAGGGACCCAAGACAATTAAGATCCACAGATGGGAAATTTAACTATATTTTCCATTCTCCCAAAGATGGGCCACAGCTAGTTCCAGGATTCTTGATGCACAGAGGAAAGTTAACTCATCACTTAGTTCTCTTCCTCAAACCCCAGGTGGGAAGAGCTGCTAGCCTAGAATTCTGAGGATTTCTGCTCATGTGGGTTTTGCCAGAGCATCTGTATGTGAAGATCATGGTCGTCTACACAGACTGCTGAGCGTCTCCTGTACATGGGCACTGTCCCACGTGCTGGGATACGCCAGGGAACCAGAGTCACTCCTTCCTGAGTCATCTCTCCTTGAGACAGTCAGCAGGAACCGACTACCAAGTAGTGACAGGTCCCACAAAACAGTAAAACAAGGAGATGTGATAGTGATACTAGAAGGGTAGTTTTATTAACTCTTATCCCAATCAAAATGTCACTTGTAAATGTTCCCGCTGCATTACTCGTAAACGGCACAAATGATTCAGACCACAACTGAACAGACGACTTTCCAACAGCTCCACTGCACTTTCTGTTACACAGCCCTGTACCTTATGATGTTATCATGCGTCCAAACCCACTTCTGATGGCAGCAGAGCAGCTCAATGGCAAAGATGTACTCCCAGGCGCTATCACTGAGGTCCTCGCCGAACCGCTCACTCGGCTGGAATTCCGTTTTTGGACACAACTGGATGGTCAAAAGCAGCTTGGAAACCATGAAGCCGACGTCCGCAGGAGCATTCTAGCAAATGAAAGAATTAAATAAACAAATAAGATTTAGAGTTCCATGTATAACACACCTTATGTTAGTAAGCGCAAAGAGAATGCCAAGCATCAGGCGGATCATCATTTAACTTAAAAAGGCACCTTCTGAACGCCTTATTTTGAATAAGGCACAGTTTCTCAGCTATGGCCCATGTCCTGACACGATGACAGAAGGGTGGCTGAGAGGCAGACACAAAACCCAGGTGGGACGCAGCATCCCCTCAGCAGAAGAGACTAGCTACACTCCAGACTCGGATGCAAATTTTCACTAACTCGAATTGGAGAAGTTATAAAGCTGTTATAATAAAAACCTTAAACTTTAAAAACATACTCTAAATTCTGTCATCTTTCTGACCCTACATACCAAGTCTGGTGTTTTTCTAGAAATTCATAAACTTGAATCAGACAGCGCTAGTCTTTTGCCTGGGTTCTTTCACGCTCGTGTGTGTTTTTGCTCTTCATCCACATCATCTTACGGGCGGGCCGTCTGAGTGCTCCTTTCTATTGCTGGGTACCTCATCACACCGATACCCCAGTTTGGTCATCCATTCACCTCGCGTTGGGCATCTAGGTTGCTTCCAGCGTGAAGCTAGTTAATAACACTGCTATGAACGTTCATGTACACGTTCTGTGTGGACACAAAGGTGACTTCTCTCAGGTACATACCTACAGTGGAGTTATAAGTTTTTTCTTTCTTGTGTTGTTTTTTATTGGTTTCTGTTATTAAAAATGAACAGGGAGTTCTCAATCTTTTCCAATACCTGAAAAAAGATGGAATCACCAGATGCTTTCAAGATGAGACAGAATTCAGGTGGAACCTGTATGTGTTTTTTTGTATATCTCTAGTCATCTTTTCAGCCTCTTCTATGATAACCGAAAACAACTGCTCTATTCAAGTGTTCTACCCCTAAAAGCAATTTTGGTAAGTTTTACTTTACTAAAACATCTTCTAGGTTGCAGAATCTGTTGCTAGATTTTCAGGCCACAGTCTTCTCAGTCGTTGTCCTGGATCTGTAGCTGCGTCTTCTTTCTTAGCTGAAATCTTGGATATTTTTGCTCTTCTCTTTTTTCAATAATCTGAGCTTGGGTTATCGGTTTTGTCCATATTTTTAAAGCAATGATTTTTTCCCCATGTTTGTTCTACTTGATTACTAATACTTTTTAAAGTATATTCATTTTTCCTAGATTCCATCTCAGATTTTTAATTTTAAAGATAATTATTAGCCAACTTTATCATTAATTTAATAATAAAGATGTTTAGTTAAACTATTTTAATGAGTATAGGTTTTCCAAAAACTAGAGATCTTTGGTATGAAAGGTTTTCCTTTTCAATGACGTGTTAAAGATTGTGACTTTACTTTTATTTAAGTTTATATTTATTCCCAGGTTGTCCAGGACTGTGTATCTGAATTTCTAAGTAATTTTTATAGAATTTTTATGGAATCTTTGAATTACTTATGTCTAATTTTATTGCATTATTACCAAAGAATTTTGAGTGTAGAATCTTTACTTTTTTAAAATTAAGCTTTTCATGCCGCCAAACTCATGACTGGTTTTTATAAATGTACCACAGACATAAGAAAAAAATACCCATTCTTCATTCAAGTTTTCCTTTTATATTACTGAATTCCACTACTTCTGTACTGATTTCTGTCTATCAGATTTGTTGAACTCTGTAAGGGAATTTGGAAGTCTTGTACCATAATGGAATTTCCCCTCCAAAGGATCCCTCATTTTTTAAAGCTTTGACTTTGTATGTTTATTTGGTATGGCACAGGGTAATTACATTTATGAAAATTCTATGTTCTTCACAGATACTGTCTCTACTATCAAATGTTCACATCTGGTTTCCTCCTGAACTGGCTGAAGGAGAGGCACCTGTGCCCAGTGGAGGACCACACAGGGGCCAGGCAGCCCCTGAGCCACCTGAGGGAGGGGGAAGGGGAGGAAATGGGGGCTCTTCTGACAGCAGCACACACAAACACACTCTGGTTTGTCCAGACGTGTTGTTGAAGAGATGATTACAAAGTTGCTTTTCAATATTTTCCTAACTTTTGTCCAAAAACCCTTTCCTTTACTGTTTGTAAGAAAATAAGTCTAATAACATTAACATCAAAAAATACTAAAACACTAATCTAGATACTATTATTAGCGCATCAGTTACTAAAGAAAACAATATGTAAAACGTGAAAAAATACTTAGAACAAACACAAATTCCGTCAACTAGAAAGAAAAGTACAGAAAGCGAGATTCAGGAAAACCGTAACAGGAAGGAGCTGAGTACCCATTTTCCCACCTCTCTGAGCACCTGTAGAAGCAGATGGTTTGCATCTCTCCTCGGAGCACTGACACATACCTGAATATGTATGGGTTTCATCAGTCGCACATCAGTGCACAGAATAAACCGTGTTAAATTCACAGAGTACACAGGTCTTCCCAAAGGGCCTCATGCATACTCAATGAATGAAACGCAAAAGTTTAGACTAAGATGATATTTTAAAGAATCTCATGCAAAGAACATCATTTGCAAAGCGCCTATCACGGACACAGGAGCAAACCCTACTGTCTCTCCAGCAGCCCTCACCTTCTCCCAGCTGAGGAAAGCCCGCAGGCAGCTCAGCACCTCGCCCCGAGCGCGCTGCCTGGCAACTAGCTGCATCGCCTTACTGATCACCGACTGCGAGACAAACACGTCGTGCCACATGTTTGCAATGAACAAAGTCAGCTTTTCCGACTCTGGGAAATCTGTAAGAAAGAAAATAAGATAATGAGCCTTTATGTCTGATCGAGAGAATGAATTACATGCTAAGAACTCATTTTAATAATTCCACGTGGCCTTGTAAAGCCTCCTCCAGCTGAAGCGTTGCAGGTATTTCAAAGTCTTCTCTCTTCCCCGCCTCTCCCCTTTGGTGAACATTCTCTAATTAAAAATGAAACGTAACACATGGATATACACCACTGTATGAAAAGAGCAATCAACTCTAAAACATGGGGATGAGGCAACTGTCCTCTCTCCAGCCCGCCCCAACCCCAAAGCGCTCCCACTGGGCTCCTGCCACTTCAGGCCACTTTTCCTGCATTTACAAGAGAACTTGCTTGTAGAGCACATGCGGCTTTGGGTTGAAGATACAGGTTTTATACATTACGGATGATAATCCTTCAGTTGTAACTACCTGCTCCTACACTGCTGTCTTTTGTCTGTTCAATCAACTTAACAGACGCGTACGAAGTATGATAAAGAAACATGGTGAATGTTTAAATAAAAAATTTATTATAGCAAAAGACACGTTGCCATTAATCCCCCTCAAAATACTCCCCCTCCCTCACTTTGAATACACTTATCCCATTGTTCCTGCCACTTTCTGAAGCAGTTCTGGAAGTCCACTTTCATGAGTGTCTTTAGTTGACCTGTCATGACTGCCTCGATGTCCGGAATCATTTTGACTTTGGGGAAGAGCCAGAAGTCACATGGTGCCAGATCCGGTGAATAAGATGAAGACACACTGTAATGATTTTATTTGACAGAAATTGCCATATGCCAGAAGCGATGTGTGACACGGAGCGTTGTCATGATGGAGGATGATTTACAGCACACTTTAAAACATACCTCCTCTCAACCGTAGCTCACACCCGAGTGACTGCACTGAACAAGCTGAAACTTGCCACAGTTACTAAGGTTTGATGAGCCACTTCCCATATTGAAGATCCCTGCCTTTCGTTGGATGGCACTCGGCAGCAGCACTCACCATGTTTTGACCACACCTCGTAGTGTCCATACACTGAAATACGCTCTTTTTAAGCAGTCTGAGGAATTTTGACACATGAAATACACCCACGTGATCTCCACCACAATCAGTACACAGAACACGGCCAGCACCCCACTTCCAGTGAGCCTTCCTAGGGATCACTGCATCCCAGGCGCAGCAGCTGACCTCTGACCGCCACTCTTGTCAGCCCGCCTCACTGACATGGAGCACAGGTACCCTCTCTGAATGGTGTCCGAGGGCCCTGTGTGTGGTTCAGCCACGGGGCTGCACACGTCGGGGTCCGCTCCTCTGTAAGGCTCAGTGCTCAAGGGCTTACCCCTCACCTGCCGATGGACACGTTTCCAGCCACGGGCTATCGTGGATTAAGATGTTATGAATGTCTATGCACTAGTCCACGTGAGGCATGTCTCTATTTCTGCTGAATACGTACCTGGGAGTGAAATTTCTGGGTCAGATGATAAGGTTTTAATTTTATAAGAAACTCTCATAGCGTGCTGTAGTGTGGTTTTACCAGTCAAGGTGAAGAGCTGTGTCCTGTTTGGCATGAAGCCACATGTTGTTTTTTCTGTCCCGTTTTATCTAACATGGCCTTGTGTTTACAGAGTGGGTAACTCAAAGCATGAACTCACCGCACTATTTGGATCTGTTACTTTGGAAATCTTGCGTTCATCTGGTTAGACTTCCTCGTGGCCCAGGACGTCTTCCCACGTCCCCTCCGTCTGGAACATGCTCCTCACTTTTCTAAACTTAGGATGTATCCTTCTGCATCGTCACATCTCAAGCTCTAGTCACTCTGATAGGAAAGCTTCTCCGACCCCTCAGATGCCCTCAATCCCTCCCCCCACAGGGCAGCCCATTCAGTGGGCAGAGAAGGCTGTGTACAGCGCGCTTTTCTGGGGAGGGGGCAGAGCAGGAACAAGGCTAACGAGGTTCCTGTCCTTCCAGAGCATGCACTCCCATGGAAGGGCGTGACAAGGAACGGAGAGGTTGGAGCACAATGTAGCAGGGTGAGTGCATAAGGAAAGGGACGGAGGGCAAAGAATGACCGAGGGGTATGTGATGTCACCGGGTGAGCCGTGACAAGGCTGCCGGGAAAGCTTCCTGAGACAGGCCTGAGGTGAGGGGCCGGGGGTCTCGGAGGAGAGCCAGAAACGCAGCGTGCACTCTGCAGGGCCCGCCTCCCTCCTACTGCCCACCACTGACTGCCCAACGTGTGCTTGTGCAGTGTCACACGGACTGACCCCACCAGATGGGCCTGTCTACGTCTGCTTTGGTCCCCATCGAAGCCCTGATACCTAGCATGCGCCCCGTAACTATTTGTTGAATAAATCAGTGACTAAAAGAGTAAATAAAGAAATGAAGAGGGCAAAAGCCAGAGCAGCCTCGTTCCCAACTCTAAAGTGATGCACACACTCGCCCACCCTGATGTGTAAGCCCGTAAACATTGCGGTAGTGCAAGGACAGGCATCGCTGCCGCCTAGGTAAAACTTTCTGCATTAAGCTGCACTGGTATGTCATTTCACTAGTTAAAAGTGCCTCCACCTGGGACCTGACACAATGAAGAATGACTTCTCACAGTCATTAGCAGGGGCTGACGACATGGTAGTAAAAGGAAAAGAGAAGCAAAGCACAGCCCTCCTGCCAATTTCTCTGTGATGTTTTCTTCTTTTAACGAGCTCAATCCATCTTACTGTTTCTGCCCTTCCCAGCTGGTGACAGAGCAGTGTGGTCTGTCACTCACTTTAAATCATCCCTTAGCCTGCGTCGACTATCTGTGCTTCTAAAGCAGCTGCACAAGGAATAAACAAATGCACAGTAACGGGAGATCCCCTACTCTACGCCAGTGAAATGCTGACACAAGCAGGCTTAAGTCCCAGAAATTGTCCTAGTGGGACTAAGACACACCCAGATACAGCTAAGGCTGCTCATACCCACTGGTAACGTACAAACATGTAACGTGATTTGAGAAGCTCCACAGCGATCACTTAGCTGGAAACACAGGTCCGAGTGGAAGGAGGTAAACGCGACGGGTGATGGCACCGCGGACGTACCTTCCTTAAGGAGGCTGTAGCAGAACAAGCGTGCTCGCTCCACGTCGCCAAGCTGCCGGCACAGGCCCACGTACACTCTGCAGAGAGCGTGGATGTAATTGGGCTCCAGAGATCCTTTCTGAAGTTTCAGTTCTGAGAGAATAGAGTGAAGCAAGCACTCTGCTAAGTGCTGGAGGGGAAAAACCACAAAAAAGAGGCAAAGTGACATATTTATCTTTAGGCTACTAAAAACTAGCTACATGTTGCAAAATTCAGTACCTCCTGGCAAAGTGAGACCGGCTCTCTATCAGAAGGCTGCAGACGGCAGCAACCGGTCACAACCTGCTCAGCAGGCGAGGAGGGGCTCTGGGGGAGAAACCCACACTGCAGGCTTCCTGCAGTCACAGGTGGCAGGTCTGAGCACACCTGGCAGCCCGTTGTCATCACCACACCAACCAGTTACATGTCTAGATTCTGCTACAACTATGTGTGTGTATTAAGCCCTCTCTACCCTACTCCCCGCTTCCTGTTCTTTCAACCCCAGTGCACGCTACGCATTTTATCCTGTCAGATCTTAAAACACCAGGTAATGTTTTCCTTTCTTAGGAAACGGAGACTAAAATCTGACACATTCGTCCATTTGAAAACAAGCTTTCTCCAAGTTACCTACACTGCCCTGAATGCTTTCTGAGTAAGAGACCTATAGCCGTGACTCTGAGGACGTGCACATAACCGCTGAAGCAGGATCCGTGCGACCCTGGAAACCATCAACGCAGGTGTCAGCACGGGAAGTTAGGAATGAGCTAGGAATGCAAGTCCCAGCGAACTGCACGTACGTCTGCACAAGCCGCCCCATCCTAAGCCCGAGCACCGCTCTTGTGGGATGATAGGCACATTCGGGAAGCGAGGGGAACCCCTGCTGCTTGTGAGACTCAGACTCATAAACGTCGTGTGACCCTGGGCACAGGAAAGAAAGGCTCCATCACATGGTAATCATCTGCTGCAAATCATTTCGAGCCTTTACCAAGCCGAATCAATGGGAAATGTGCAATTTTTGTCCCGACAGATACTTTTGCTGTTTTAAGATTTCAAGTTATTTGACGAATACAAATTACCCAATCTCTTAGTCTTTTCACATCTCAAATGTACAAAATCCTGGCTAGAAATGAAGTGCAGGCCAGTGCTGGCATGGGGAGTGTCAGGCTCTGAGCTGCAGCTCCGGCTGGGGCCCTCCGCCAGGCTGCTGCCCCCGGCGGCCTGCCCCAGGCTGAGGACAGGCCACGTACCTTCTTTGCTGTACTGAACTCATAGATGACTTCCTTCTCCTCGTCCCTCAGGACAGGCTTTTTGGAGATGTTCCCCACGTACACATGGCTGCGGATGACGGGCAGCAGGTCAAAGCAGGACCCCGCGATCTTCTTCAGGGCGTCAGCGATGGCTTGGTCATGCGACTCCACAGTTTCTCTGGGGTTCGGGGACGGGTGGGAAGCTGCTCCAGCAGCCGGCACAGACGCCAGGTCCTCAGCGGTCGCTGTGACCTCAGCTTGAGGGAGGTCCCTGCGGGGGTGCTTGTGGATGCCTTCTGCGTTGGCGCTCCCCGTTTCCGGGTCTGGGGACCCGCTGTCCAGGCGCAGCCTTTTAGCGCTCCTCAGTGTACACACCGACAGGGCCCTCTTACCCCCTGAATCCTGTGGTGTCCCCAGGTCTCTCGGCTTCTCCTGGTTACAGTCACCACCAGAGCTGCCCCCCGTTTTGACAAAGGCGGTGGAGGTGGACGTGATGGCTTTGAACCCTGTGATGGCGCTGACGGGCCCCGGCAAATCCTGCCGGGCAGCAGGCGTCCCCCGCGCCAGCTGAATATTACCTTTGAGGATACTGAGGGTGCGGGCTCTGGCTGACAGCTCCGGGTACATGGTGTCGAGGATTTTCACGGAGTTCTCCTGGGGCCCGGCCACGGCAGCGTGGGCCGACGCGCAGGGGGGCAGCCGGCCGGGCACGGGAAGGGCGTGCTTTGGGGTCGCAGCACAAAACTGCAAAGGGGAGGACAGCGTCCTCTCCCCGGTGGGTACGGCGGACGGGGACAGGGGTGTGCACAGAGGGGAGACGGGTGCCGGGTCTTCCAGCAAAGACGTCATGGGCGGCACTGGGATGTCGCACAATGGAGAGAGCCGGCCCGCAGGAGAGGTGGGTGAGGAGGGACTGGAACTGGATATCAGGGGGGAGACGGGGCGCGAAGTCCTGGGGGGCGTGGCGATCAAAGGAGCAAGCAGGGGCGGCAGGGGAGGCCCCACCTCCTGCCGAATTTGGCTCAGAGTGTCGGCAGAATAATCTGTGGGAGTAGACGTGTCGGCGCTGGCGAGAACGGGCTGAGGCGGGTGTCTCGGAGCTTTTGCGTTACCTCTGTCCCCTGAAGGTGACCGGGACACTTCACTCGGATTACTTTCAACTCTGCTGGACGCTGAAGTCTTTGCCAGTTTGTTTGACTGATCTTTGTTTGAAATCTTCGATCGAGTCTTGGTTTTGCCAAATGGTTCTAGTTTCGAGTTATAATACGTGTGATCAGACGCAACGATCTGAGACTCAAAGACCTGATCGTATATTTCAGAATTAATCCTCACACTGGGTTTCACAGGCCTGTTCCGCAGACGGCTTTTATCAAAGTTGGAGCTCGGGCCACTGCTGGGACTCTCCTCTTGGGCACATGGGAGGCTGCCGCCGCACGGGGGCTCCTGCAACGGAGAGCCGGCGTCAGCGGCGTCTGGGGATCTCTCCGCGGGAGCCGCGGAAACGAGGCCAGCTGCCAGCCTTCCTCCCTCCGGGGAGCCTTGGGCGTCTCCGGGTGCGTCACACAGGATCACCTGGTCCCCATCTGGCACGAGTGCCACCCCATTTATGATGGTCCAGTTGTCCCCCTTTTCAATGACTAGATTTTGGTCCTTATTTATCAGCACATTTATAACTTCGGAGGTCACTGTGGAGATCTGACACTGAAACGTCCTCTCCGCCTCACAGCCAGCACTGTGCTCGGCTATCTGTCCTGCTCCAGAGCCACAGCCCTGGGGTGGGGGCTCCGCCAGTTCTGACAGGACCGTGTCCCCACTGTCGATCGGCCTGGTCATGTCTGAGAGACCCTCAGGTCTGTTCTGAGTGTTTTTGTCACTGGATGTCCCAGTAGCGGGAGAAGTGCCCTCGGCATCCAGGCCAACCACGGGCAGGGGGAGGTCTGACGGAGGCGACGAGGGGCTGCTTGTTTCTGGGGCTGAGACGTGCTCTTGCGCGAGTTCACTCGTCGGGCCGTCCTGCCCGACACTGAGGAGCAGCACGTCCGCGGCCTCGGGCCTGCTCACGTCCTCAGGGTCGTCGGGCTGCAGCTCCTGCCCGAGCTTGCTCAGCACCTCGGACAGCGTCTCCAGAGCGCACTGGGCGAGCCGACTGGCGCTCCGTAAAGAGCCCTCCTCATCCTCTGACTCAAGCCACTGCTCGCCACAGGTTTCCAGCGCTTCCTGTTCACCGAGTTGCTTCCTGCATTTTGCTCCTGTTTTTCCACTTTGCTTTAACTCTCCGTTCATATCTTTGTTTAGGGTTTCTTTGCTAGAACATTCTGAAACAGAGTCCCCTGAACTATAATCTCTCAACTGACAACTCTCAAGAAACTGCACCACCTCCGACGTGGACAGTCCGTCCGTCTCAGGGAGGGTGCTGATGTTGCAGTCCCGCAGAGCCGAGGTCAGGCAGCCCAGCTCGGTGGCAGGTCTGGGCTCAGCGGCACCGGCACCCGCAGCTTCGAAGTCTGTCCTGGGCGCCTGGGCAGCACTCCCTGGCACGGCTTCAGCCTCGTTTTCACCCTCACTGCAGCTAGGGGCCTCGCTGTCCCCCTCCGTGTCGCCGCCTCCTGCCTCCCGGATGCCTGTGTAACAGTACAGAGGGCGAGAGAGGCTCCCTTGGGGGACAGCATGGGTGTCGTCATGTTTCCTGCCAGTCGCTGAAGGAAAGGCAGCGGCTGTGGGGCCTGGGCTTTCACAGCGCACACCGCCAGGACTCGGCGACAGCAGCTGCTCGGGCCGCTCTGGGCTCTGCCGCACACGGGGACTGTCCTCGGCAAGGGCCGCGCCTTCCCCACCAGGCCCCGCTCTGCCTCCACAGGGCGCGTCTTCAGCGGGACAGCCTTCCGACGCTGCCATTCCTGCGGCCGGACACTGGTCTCCATCCATCCCGGACGAGTCCGGGTTTGTGGCATTCGGACGCGGCCTCTGCTTCTGCATCTCTTCCTGCACTGCGGGCTCCGTCACGACGTCTTGGTTTGGGACGGGGCAGTTTTCAGAAAAGAAAGGTAATTTGCTATTTGTGGGATGAGAATTTTCTACTGATGAAGAACCACCTGGAAACTCCAGCTCGAGTTTCCTCCAAGAAGGGGAGACGCCTGGTGCGGCCCTTTCCAGAGGACCCGCCTCCTGGACTTCCTGCGCTGCGTCCTCTCCCTCCCCACATCTCGCTCCAGATGACACGTATCCAGTCCCGGTACTGACTTCTGTCGCCGAGGCAGGCTCGCTCGTGGGCAGGATCAAGGGCTCGGACGGAGCACCGTGCGTCCTCTCCGGTCTGGCCTGCTTGGTGATCACTGACACTTGGTTCGGCAGCAAGGAGGCAACAGCCCCGAGCCGCACAGCACCGGCACTTTCTCTAGCGAGCTCGGGCTTGGACGCTGACCCCCTGGTTTCCAAGGGGACCAATGCCTTTTGTAACTGATGATGGGTCTCTTGTTCATGTTCTGACTTAGCTCTCAGCCTTTCTTCACTGCCTCTCCTCAAAAGATCACTATGGTGCCAGGAAGTGCTTCTGACAAAGCCAAAAACATGCTTGATCAAGCCGGACTGAGACTCCACTAGTGGTGTGAAATCTGACTGACTCGGCGTGAGCCCCACTTGCAGACCTTGGCCTTCACCCTGCCCACCTTTCGCGGCCTTCGCAAACACTGACGGAGGGAGTGTGCACACCTGGGCCGCGCCTTTCACAGCTTCTGCACATTCCACCTCACTGCTACTCGGCCCGTGAAATTCGGGGCACAAAGCCCAGGCGCTGCTCCCTGGCGCGTCTTCTCCTATAGAACACGCTGGTGGCTCAGGCTGCAGACTCGCTGTGTTTGAAGTTCCGGCCTGTAACTTTTGCTCTGAATGACACACTTCGGCGGAAACATGTGTCTCGTCACCACACTGAGGATGACGGTAGGCAGACGGCGCTCCCGAGGTACAGGAAGGAAACCTGACGCCGACATCACACCCTGTCGTATCCATGACGTCACCTGCGTCTTCTTCCGGCTCAGGTGACTGTCCCAGCACGAACCCTTGCATAGGTCCTCTCTCCTTTTCCGGTTCTCTGGCTATTCCCCGAAGATGGTCAGAAACGGAGGCACGGTCCGATTCAGAAGTGACTTCATTCGTTGGTATCCACTGAGTAAAGTCTGATTTGGGTGATCCCACCATTTTAGATAACAGGGTTTTTCCTTCAGAGCCCACGAGTTCATTTAATGGCCTCTGGCCAAGGGGGCAAGAACGCAGGTCTGACTTCCTGAGGGCCGCTTCCTGCTCCTGGGCGAGGCTGCCAGACACCTTTTCAACCCGCGCCCTCCCGATGGGTTTATGAAGCACGCCCTCGGTCTGCACTGACTTATCCGTCTCCCTGCCCTCTCGCTGTTGTTCAGCCTCGTCTACCATGCCTCTGTGTCTATCGCTTGTGAGTGGAGGTGACACTGTCCAGTGTTTCTCACGAGCCAAGGAGTACGTGGCTGGAGGTTCCCTTAGTGTTGTTGTCAATGTCCCAAACCCCACAGCTGTCACTTCGTTTACTTCCGACGCATTTGGAACCCGGACGGCTTCACGTGATCTGAGCTTTCTGGCCCATGAGCCATGTCCTTTCGTTTTTCTGGAGGACCCCGGACAGTCCTGCGCATCTGGTGCCTCAGCTTCTGAGACAGACTCAGCAGAGTTTCTGTGCTGGGCCGAGTCATCGTCACTGGAATCCGCGTACTCTCCAAAGTAGGTCTCCTTAAAAGTAAACGAGTGACTGTTAGTCAATGAAATGGTAGCCTGTTCCACCCCTCCACAGCCTATGCAATGCTTCAGAAAACCCACGACCCCCGCCAGCCCACTCCTGTCTCGGGCTAACTTCCAGCATCACACGTGACCCACCAGTGAGCTAACTCGTCGACTGCAGGCCTCCCGCTCAGAAAGGGAGATGGTGGGCTGGGCAGGGGCCTCTGCTCACAGCCTTGCTCCTCCTCCATATTGTCCGCCCCCCCGGAGTTCTATAGTCCCGGCAGCTCCTGGGTTTCCTCCACCGTCCTGCCAGCCATCTTCCATCTCCTTCCCTCCTCCTCTTTTCTACCTGGTCCTGTATGTACTGACAGGTCCCCAGGGGTCTGTCTGGGACCCCACCCTCCTCCTCTGCACATTCTTTAAATGAAATCAGAGCTGTGGCCTCTGCTGCACCCAAATGCTAACACGTCCTCAACGCCTGTGTCCCACCAGGCCCCGCCAAGCCACCATGCCCGTGGATCTAAAATGCACATCGCATATGCCCGCCTGGAAATCCCAACGCACCTAGGGACTAACATTTTACACGTTATCTTCCCGCTCAAGTAGGGCTTCTTCTTGTATTTGTTATTTTCCAGCATCCTTGATCCCCCAGCGCCCCTAAGCACCGCTGAAAATCTCACTGAAGGCTGATCCTTCGACCTCGTAACTTTTCAAACCGCCCAACCCTCTGACCCCAACGCCGCTGTGGGCTGCGTGTCAGTATGAAGGAGGCCGCTGAGCAAACCACTTCCTGTCCACGGTGTTGCTCTTTCCTGAACACTCCGCTCCCTACTCACTCACACTGTGACTAACGTGAAGCTTGCGAATGAAATCTGCCATCGGGGACACTTCTACGGCTCCGTCAGGAGCAAATGGAAAGTCCTCAGGACACGCGTGGCCCTGGAGGCCCCGGTCTGTGTGAACGGCCCCCAGCATAAAGCTCTCTCTTGGTGTGAACAGCAAGCCCATCTGCAGCGCCCCCTCTTCCACACCCATCTGAGACCCACCTTCCTGAGTCCCCACCACGGCCCCCCGTGGCCTCCTCCACCAGGACGAAGCCCCTTCTGGGCCCCTTCCTTCAGGCTATGTCTCCAACACTGCAGCACTCTACCCAGGCCTGTCCCTTGGTCCGGCTGCCACACAAGGTGCAACTACACGGCACCACACCCTATGTCACCTCTGCCTAGCACGGTGTCCAGAACACAGCAGACGTGAGTCACGTTTCCTGAACGAAGGCAGTGACTCAGTGGCGTCTTTTATCTGCTCCTTAAGCCAAAAAGTACAGAAATCTGCTTTAGGAAGACTGGCGTCCTAAGGAATTCTGATAAACCATTGTGCAAACACACAAAAAGATGATGAATTCATCAAGTGGAAGAGGGGAATTCAGCATCCTGGGTGAATGCATGCTACGGACATGGATATGCCCATCTCAGAAACCGCCATGCCTGCAAATACGTATTTAATTCACTCTTTCCAGATCTGCTAAGTGCCAGGCATGGAGATAAGAACAAACAACTAAGACACATTCCTCCCGCAGAACACTAACTCGCTCGTGGAGAAAGACAGAACTGCAAGCAGAACACAGAGCGCGCGAAGCCACGCCCTGCATGCCCTACCCGCTCCTCGCTGCTCCCTAACGAACGGGTTTGAGGACCGGGAACGCTCGCGGAGTCTGGCTAATGCACTAGGACAGCCATGGTACCTGCCTGGCGACTCAGATTCAAAGTGCAAACTCACGGGTGCCAGCGCAGACGGCAGTGTGCCCAGGGGCGACCCCAGAGGGGGAGATGGCACAGGCGACAGGAGAGGCGGGGGCAGTTTGAAGAAGTCCACGGCGGCCTGAAGGTCCTCATCAAAAAGGTGGTCGTGGTCGGAGAAGGCAGAACTGTGCCCGTGCTTTGTTAAAACCCCGCGATGCCAGTGCTCGTCCCGGGGAGCCCCTGCGGAGGGCCCCTCTCCTCCCACACTCTCGCATGCAGAGAAGTCGCCCTCGATCTCCATGGACAGCTCCGCCAGGCATGTCTGCACGGCCGAGGCTTTCAGGGGGCCGCGTCCTCCCGCAGCCGGCACCCCAGCCTCCCTGGGCTGGCTGGGTCGGGGTTCTTCTTGGACAGGCCTTTCTGTGGGGAAAATGTAAATATCAAATATTTACAATATCAAGAAAACTTTAAAAATCCTCACCCTATCCTACCAGTTAAAAATACTTGCAATAGCAAGTCTAAATAGAAACATAATTTAACGACACCGACCCTGCCCCCAGGACCTCCTGCAGCACCTCAGCGCATTTCCCGTAAGCTTCACTCGCGACAGACAGGACCGAGGGGAGAGGGGCGAGGGACGGAGGGGTGTCCATGAGCGCTCCATAGGGCCGCTGGCCTGGATGGCCCGTGACCCTGCCCATACAGCCGGCAGTGCACGGGAGAGACAGCTTCCTGCGTGCAGGCTGACAGGAAACACTCTTTTCTCTGACTGAAAAGCGATCTGAAGTCAAGACACCAAGCCTACCCCACGATCCTATTGTATAATGCTCTAATTAAGGAACAAGGTCACATAAATACTTTTTGCTATACAGCAACAGAAGAATGACTATAAAGGCAATGCTTGAAACTAATTAAAAAAAAAAGCCAATGTTTTCTGGGTCTCAATTTTGGTGACCTGCAGTGGTGCTAATAAGGAGCAAGGACAGGAGTGTCCTGGGAAATAATCAGAAATACCTATCTGTCATATTTGAAAGCTGTAAAAATACGCTTTACAGAAGGAGTCAGGGCTGATGGAGAAGTGGCTGATTACAGGGCCAGGCAGGGGAGAAACGAGTTGAGCCTGAGCCATCTCGCAGCGCCAGAAAGTAAAGATGCTCGCGACACAGGACGGGTAAAGCGGAAAGGCCTGCGCGCCGGTCAGAGGGCCGCCCCAACAGCGACGGCCGGAGCCTATGAACGATACCCACGACAGACGGAATTACTAAGCACGGGCAAAATAAACACCCATGAGCCTGCACTGACAGAAATAAATGAGGGATAAATGGCAGAAAAGGGACAGCTCTTCCTTATAATAAATGCAGAAGAAATTAGGGAAATACACGAAGACCGATTAGACACACGCAGTATTGCAGCAGACGAGATCCCTGGTTAGCTGCTAAAATCGGCGGGCCACAGGTGGAGACAAAGAGCACGTGCAGTGCCAGGGTCTCCCTGAAGGTAGCTAACCACCAGTAACTTCCCAGTGGAGAAACCTGGCGGCCGCCACCTTACATGAGTGAGAACCAGGAGCTTCCTGAGAACATTTTCCTCAGGAAGTGCCGCCTTCAGACGCCTGAGGGGAAACCAGAGGTGGGCCGTTCCTACAGATTTAGGTCTGCAGTGATCTGTGATTCATAGCAGCTGAGACGGCAGTCAGGGGAAAAACGCTGAAAAGCATGTGAATTGTATGCAAGACGGCCATCTCCCCCTATCCGCTCTCGGGAGACTAATGCCTATTTCCACATCTTAAGTCCTGAAGAACGTAACTGAGAGTGCGCCTCTGCAACTTTTTACTGCAAATCCAGGTATCCCACAAATTCCGTCCGTCTCTGAAAATGCATAGCTTACTGCGCCATACAATAAATAATCCGACACGACCGTTGGCATGGCGGGAAAGAATGGGCTGTCGGGAAAGTCATGACGCATCTTTGCAATGAAAAACAGAAACATAATGTGCTGACTTTTCCAACAACCCAACAGCTTTGTATGTACCCACATCAGTCCCGAGACCAGGAATGTAGAGTGTAACTAAAATCTCAGCCACAGGAAGTGGTAAATGACATCAAAAATCATTGACAATTATTTTTCAATGATTTCCTGGCAGACAGATGAAAACCCGGGAATGATTTTCTGCAGCCTTCTGCATCCACTGCACAGACAGGCCTCAGTGGGTCCGCCCCGTTCCTATCATGTTCTCTGAGGAAAGCTGCTACTAAAATGAAAACCCACACACAGGTACTGAGCTTGGTGGAAGGTGCACTAAAGAGGAAGGAGTTTTGTGTAATTACGAGTGCCCACTCTGGTTTAGTCCATCCTCAGGAGACATAAAACACTAAAGGCACACAAGGCCCGCGGTAAACACTTGCATCTTCAGGCAACGACAGGCTCTTCTGGAAGCTTCTGTCTCACCTGCGACACATCTGCTGCCTTCACCAGGTACTCTGTGTGTCGTGTTTATGCAGAGCCAGAGTTCCTTCAGAAGCAGTTTTACTTTCCCTGTGGAAGAGAATAAAGTATTGAAGACATGGTATTTGGCTCAGTCTACACAGGCCAAAAGACAGTCCTGTGAAATCAGGACTTAGCAGGACTTCAGAAAACCAGGTAACTTAGACACAGTCCTCAGAGTCCATCGCTGTGGATCATTCAGGGAGCTGCTGACGCAAAGGTCAGCCAAACGCTGAAGGCTGAATGCAGGCTGGGGCTTTTCTGGCTTATTCTTGCTGAGGCGGGGAGAATGGGGCCCAAAAGAGCAACGCTGCCCCTTGTTAATGGCATCTGTCACCTTCACCTGTGTGTTGAACACACAACTCTTTGGCCCGGAAGTGTTCTACAGACAGGGACATGGGACTGGGGAAAGACGCACAGACACAATGACCGACGTAAGAGATGGGGGCTCGACGTACTGTACACAGAGCAAGGGCGGTGCCGCCTCAGTCACGTGAGGCTCTCAGGCCATCAGTGGGCCGTGCGGTCATTAACCTGGGGCTTCAGGGGTCACAGAAAAGCCATTCATGGTCTTAGCGAAAAGGGGCAGGAGACAAAACTAGACGTATGTGTGGGGAGAGATCACATAGAAGGAAAGCAAATGCTTCGGGATTTTCATGAATTTTCAAAGGGGCCTGTCTGGGTTCCTAAAATGTTTAAGAACCACTGGCTCAAACTGAAAGGTCAAGGGGCAGCTGGAACTAAGACAGGCCCAATGAAAGTCATGTAACAGTAGAACGTTACTCTATGGTTTTAAAGTGAGTTTCACATTAGTAAATACACATTCCAAAAAAACCTTCCAAAGCTAAAAATATTCATAAAAATGTCAACAGCTTCCGGTCAAATCTGCATAAAAGGACAACCCACACAAATTAAAATTCAACTAAAAATAAACTGTTAAGTGTTGGGCAATTTCAGGCCGCCTCAAAGTTCTATTACAGTTTCCTTGAACTTAAGTTCTTAAATTAACCTGAAGCATTTACTAAAATCACCGAAATCTTTAATCCAGTCTAGAGAGGCTATACAGACCAACCTGTTAAAGCCAAGTGTCTCCACGGAACCACTAAGCTTGAGAGAGGGCAGCCCTACAGGAACCACCGGCAAACCGTGTGGCACACACGATGCAGCTCCAGGGACCGGCCAGGGCGGAGGGCAGAGGCCTGACAGTTTGAGCGGACACTGCCAACCTCCCCTGAGCCAATCAACCTCTGACGGCCACGGGGTATGAAGCACATCCATTTTGAGTCCAAAATTTTGTGACCCAGTAGCTTATCTCCTGGGAGTCAACATACCCCCCAGTCTGCTTCCAAACACTGTAATCCCCTTTACTTAAATGACCTGCCCAGGATCCCTGCTTATTAGGTAAACCCAAAGCAGCAAACAGTGAACCTTTAAGAAAAAGAAAGAGTTACTTTTCTATTCTTGTGCAGGCTCAACCAGAGCTATGCCTACCTAACTGAGCATTTGCTCACTGTATCCCATCTGACAAAAAGAGCTATCCTTTTCTCAGCGAACTAGGAAAAAATCTGCGCCTTCCTTCCTTAGCTGTGAAGAGAAGCTCTCATTAAACTGAACCGCGCACGTTCTCCCAATCCTTCAAAACACTGCCTTTCGCAAAATCGAAGGCACCTGAGTGTTTCTGGACGCGCCTGCTCCATCGGCTTGTTGGCTTCCCCATGTGTACGTGCTTTGTTAATCACGACCGTGTATCTGCGTGGGGAGGAGCCTTGCTCAGGTTTTTCCTTTTCAAAAATCTTATTCCAAGCATCTATCTTGCATCGCCTGTCCTTCCCATAGACAACCTCACTGGGGTTTTGAATGAGGCTGCGTATTTACAAACACATTTGGGGCAAATTCGCATCCTCGTGCTGGAGTCTTCCGCCCAGAGACACAATGTCTGTTTCCACGTCCGGGGCTCCCAGAATCCTCTTCAGGAGGCAGCACCGCATGCTCTCAGGCCTTTTCCTCAACGTCTGACGGTTCCGTTGCCCGCTGAGAACGGACTGTTCTAACAGGTTCATAACAGTATGGTGTCTGTTCCTTGTTTACGTCACCACATCCCCCAGCTCCTACACTGGTGCTTCCCAGCTGCGTCTTTTGATTTCCCAGTCATGCCATTTAGAAGGATGGCAGCTTGAGTCCCTGGTTAGTCCTCCGTGTTTGCTGCACTGCGTGGGGCCCCCGGCACGCAGAGGAAGCAATGAGCAACCCGCCCTGCTCCTGACAGATGACTGTGCTCTCACGTCCCACCTTCTCAAGTTCCAGTGAGTTTTCCTAGTATTACCTCACCAAATACATATTTTAATAATGGTGACTCAAGATCATATGATTTTCCTTAACCAGTTGTTACAGTATTCCTGAGATAAACTCTTAATTCATAGTTTGTCTGTATTCTAATTTACTAGATCCGAGTTCTTGATCTTGTCCTTTGTGTATTTCTCAGTCAGAGCTCTGCATCTTGAGGGGGGGGGTGCGTGTTAACTGGCTTTGGTAGTTAGGGTTACACTAGTCTAAGAGAATGAGACAGAAAGCATTCCCTATTTTCCAAAGTTCTGAAACAAACAAAATAACAACGTAAGATAATAATAATGAAGACATCTGTCTTCACTGAAGGCTTTACAGAGCCCGTCTTTAAGCCACCTGGACCTTCTATGGTGATAGAGCTTCAACCATTTAAAAAAAATTTCTTCTGTTATTTTTCTCTTCAGGTTTCCAACAACTATTCTGAGTCAACTTGGTATGTTTTCCTAGAAGAGGTCCATTTCATGAACATGATCAAACAGGATATAAATGTGTGGATTAAGACATTCTCCAACTGCGGTTTGATAGCTGAGTCCTGGTGCTACAGGGTTTTGTTCTTTCTTAATCAGACTTGCCAGGAGCTGTGGGTTTCACAGGCATTATAAAGATCCAGTTATTGGTTTTAATGGTCCCAAATCAATTGCTTAGTTTCCTATTCCATTATCTGAGGTTATTCTTTTCATCAGCTCCTTCCTTCCATTTTCCTGAAGTGTCTGCTGTATTTTCCTACATTGTTATTCATTCCTTTTCTGTAATTCTTGCTTTCTAAAATAATCACTGAAGACCACATATCATTCCATTGAATACCACATTGGCAATAGCTCAAAAATTTAATAAATGTTGCCTTATTGTCGTTTATTTCTGCGACAGTTTAGTATTTCAGTTTTTATTTTTTCTGTTATCCAAGAGGGGTTTGTGTTTGTGTGTTCAGTTACCAGGTAGGTTTCTAAAGGTTTTTTTTGGGGGGGTGGGAGAGATACTTTTGCAAATATCTTATTAAATATCTCATTTTAGATTGTAGGTTTTGTTGTCCAGTAAACCGTTTTGAAACATAGTACATATGTTTCAAAGGTATTTTAAAGAATTCTAGGTTTATGGTTTCAGAGTTATATGTAAATCACCAATCTGGCAATTATGACTCCAATACTATCTCCTACTTTGTCTGCCTTTCTGTTTCCGAGAAACATGTCGAGTCGCCATGAAACCCAAGTTGGTTCTTGTCCCTAGGATTTCCAAGCATTTTACTTGACAAAGTTTCATGCTCTTTGGTCTGTGACAGCAGCATCTTCTTGGAAAATTATACCTGCAGTCAACCTAGATATTCCCTTTTAATCCACGTAAACTCATTTCTAGGCTTGACTTATTTTTTTTTACCTTACAATAAGCTTTCAAGTTCGCATCTGCTTGGAATTTCTTTATCCATCCCTGTATATTCATCTGTCTGCTTCATTTGATTTTCAGCGTATTCCAGTGAACGTGTCAGGGATGGAGACAGCACACAAACGCCTCGCCCAATGCTCGGGAGGCCTTTCTCATGCAGGCGTCACACCAGTGCTCTGCTTGGGGGGTTTCCTTCCGTCATTTCTGGATCAGCTTCCTGACAAGTCCTAGTACACGACTATTATGACATCTGGTTCTATCTGCCGGATTCTTGTACTTTCCCAAATGCCTTTTATTTCCTTGTTCTCTTCTGTTAAGAGATTAAATTTCTTGGTTCCTTAAATCAATCTTCTATCTGTCCATTCAACAATTCGACCTTTCTAGTGGGTATATTTCTAATCATATTTTTAATATTCCAGAGCCCCAACTCCCAACTTCACAGCAGCAGCAGCCTATGCGTAAGTTCTCAGACTTCTCTAAGGCTATAATTCCATTTCTAACACTTCCTCCTGGTTCACGACTTCATACTGTTTCCTCGGGGACCGGCCCTTCTTGAGTTGGGTGCCTTTCTTTCTTGTCACTGCTTCTCCTTAGTTTCAGATGAAAGTTTAGGCAGGACATCTTTGGTAGCCAGAGTACGTTTCTTCAGCCTGGATTTTCAGTCCTGTATCTTGGCAATAGGTGCAGGTTCTCATTTCATGAGCATAAGGACCCTGCCTCCAGAGGAAGAGGGAGAGTGAATGCAGCTGTGAGGGTTACAGGGAGTAGACAAAGGTCTCATTTTCTGGGGCCAGGAGCAGCTATCCTTCAAAGCTGCCGTAATTACCCAACTGTCTGACACCCGCACCCACTAGGGGCACCTCCCATGTCATAACTAACACTCGGAGAACTAAACTAGGGGCCGAAGCCTGTGGACAAACCCAGAAACGGTTCTGGACCCAGAAGGTCGCACGCTTTGCACCCCTTCTCCATGGCCCGCTGCTTCGCCCTCTCCCTACCGCCTCTGATGTGGGGACGTGCAGGCTCTGCCACCCAAACGTGCTTTTGGAGAGCTGCAGTTTTCTCCACAGTTTGGGGCTGCGTCACAGTTTGGAGATGCGTCACATCTCCTCATTAAAATCCCCAGTGGCGCTAACCCTTTTTCGCTGTAAAGAAGAGCTATGTTTATTGTCTGCCGTTGTTGCTGGAACGTGACAGAACAGCAGGGCAGCTGCAGCGCGCAGGCAGCCTTCTGGGAAGTGCAGTGAACCGAACACCTGTCTGCCTGACTTGTAAGCCTCTTTCAGAGGTCAAGAACTAACAGAGAAAAGCAGGGAGAATACGACCAGACTTGGGATTTCAAGCTACCACAGTCCATAGCTTAGTCGGCGGATTCCTAAAGGCTTCATTTATGTATTTGGAAAAAGCAAAATGTACAACAGACTAGTCCTGCCCTCACAGTGAGGGAAGATTAAAAAAAAAAAGTTACTTGTGACAGTTACAAGTTCTTTGCAGAAAACAAAATAGCATGCAGGACAGACAGCAACTGTGGGGAGGGGTAGGAGGTTTGGTCTGAAAGAGTCAGGCCTACGACTAGCCGCATCCTAAAACGAATCTGTCTGCCCAAAAGAGACCATTACACTCAACAGGTGACGTGGCTGGGAAGGCCGTACCGTCAAGTCCCCTAGCGCTCTCAGCAACATCTATTATGAAAAGCCTCCCTTTTCACACGTCAGAGGTTGGAGGAAGCGTCTGAAGCACACAGGAGTGAGGACAGCGACAGTGATAAGTCAGCGCTCAGGACCTGAAAGGCTCGAGCTGGAAAAGCCTTAGGCCACAATAAAAATGGTCCAGCGCTCCGGATCAGAGGGGAAAGGATGACAAAGGCTTCTGAAGAGCCACCATATACTTCTACACACAGTGTAAGTGGCTTCAATCATTTCTATCTGACAGAAAAATAACACACTTGGTGACATGAAAATACCATTATTTACATTTTAAATGTATCCCTGTCAAAAGTGAGAGACAGGCAGAGCAAACTGAATCTCCCTTTTAAAAATGGAGAACGAAAGCACACGGAAGGGAAGTGAAAGGCCAGGGGTCACACAATCACTGCACAGAAACACCGCAGGGGAAACCCCATCTCTCACTGTCCAGGGTCAGTCCCTCCCGCCTATGAGATCCCACACTCGGTGGTGAGAGGCGAACGTGAACATCTGGGATGGACGTCCCGCGTGATTTCTGTGACTGCCCCTTTGCTTTCCTTGCAACTTTTGGCCTTTCCTAAGTTCTTGTCTTCCAAAAATAGGGCTTTGACTCCAGTTTTCCTGCCTGACTTTAATTATTTCTGTACATCTGGCACCTAAGAAATTTAATAAACTGACTTGATAAGTTGTAACCTAATGAGTAAACTATACTTATTAATTGAAAAGTGTGGAAATTACATCTCTAACTAGTTTTCCTTTCCCAAGCAGTATTGCTTGTTTACACTTTCATTCACTGTATTATTTTATCAGGCAGGAAGGTGATAACATAGGCAGATCTAATGAAGACATGAAATGGGTATGGCTTCTTACATGAAACATCTAGTAAGCCCTGGAATTTTCAGTCATAGGTTACAGCAACATGCAACCTCCTAAACCATTACAAGTGATGCATAGAAATAAAAATAGAACTTGGAATATACTTACTTTTATCTATGCTTCCGTAAGAATCACTTGAAATTTGTGTTCCAATATGTCTCAACTCTAAAAATGGGAAGGGAAACAGTTAAAAAAGAATTCTACGTATCAAAACAGAATTGTTAAATAAGCAATAACTGAATACTCACCCTTCTCATTTTTCTGTTTAGAAAATTCATCAAGCCTTTCCTGTGAAAACAAAGCAGTCAGTGTCTGAAGTGGGGCCAGAGTGCAGCCATTCTAGACCTAAGCAAGGGGTGGCCTAATGGGCCCTGGGACTGTTTCCCCCTGGGGGGCCATTCCTGGCTCCTGTGAGATTAGGACTCGGCACTTACAAAGGGCGCTGAAGGGCCCTGAGGCCGGGAACTCAGGGAGTGTGCATGCTGTCATCTATTACCTGTGTCTTCTTAAATTCCTTTTCAAGTACTTTCTTTTCATTCCTCAGTTGCTTGAAGTCCTGAATTTGCTTCATGGCAGCCTCTTTATTTAAAGAGCACAGTGAAGTAGGAAAGAAAAGTAATTAACCGGCTTTACAGCTACAATTAATGAAATTCTTAAAACATAATCCATTTAGAGTTTTTCTTATTTCTTAAAACTTTGAAACAAGTGTTGCTAAAAGGTTACTGTTCCTTCAGCACTGTATCAGGGGTACATGCGGAAACGCTTTCTGCTTATTCTCTCTATTGCCTACACACCCACGGAGCTGGCTCCGCCCTCGACACCCTTCACAAGGCTTGCACAGGCCCACCAGGCCCTCTAGGCAGGCCAGACTTCAACACCTGCGAGCCTCAGAAAAGGGGAGGACCCTTGTTCTTCACCATCAGCAACATTCAAGGTTCACATTTAGATGTGCTGTTATGTTGGAATACAGTTAGTACCATCCTGTTTATTTGGAGGGAGGCATGCTCTCCTCGATGCGTACTACACTGTTACTCCTTCCTGGGGTTCCCCTCCATAAGCTGATAGTCCTAACTGTAACACCTTTATTATAGATTACATTTGACCCTTGAACAACGGCCCCGAACACTTGAAAATCTCTACCTAACTTCTGACTTCCAAAAACATAATTACTGAGAGCCTACTGTTGACTGGAAGCCTTGATGATAACAGTCGATTAACACATATTTTGTATGTTATATGTATTATATGCTGTATTCTTACAATAAGCTAGAAAAAAGAAAATGTTAAGAAAATCATAAGAGAAGATACATTTACAGTATTTATTGAAAAAAATAACTGCATGTAACTCGACCTGTGCAGTTCAAACTCGAGTTGTTCAAGGGTCAACTGTACTTTTAAGGCATGTTGATAGCTTTTCTCCAAATCTTCAGCCAATTCCTCATTCCTATTTTTGATTCTGAAGCACTATACAGTCCAAACACACTATGAAGAATCTGAGCAGTATTGGTTTTATCTGAATTCATATACCATTGCTAGGAAAAGTAAAATCCCAGAAAACACTAGAGCGACAACCCTTTCCCAAACACACGTGTCACACATAGCAGGCACTGTGATGAAAGCACGCAGCAGAGTCAGTGAGCCGCAGCAGGCAGGAGGGCTGCCAAAGCCCACACTGGGCTGAAAAGAGCATCATGTGCCAGGGACGGGTCTGCCAGAGCCCACTTGCCTCTACTAAACGGTATTTCCACGTCCCAACCACCGATGAACGGGGACAAAAGGAAAAGTCGTGCGTTCAACTCCTGAAAGGGCTGTGAGCTGCCCACGTGGCTGCACCAGGCCCCCCGTGCCCTCTGCACTGCCTTGTCAGTGTGGACCCCAATCCCCAACCAGGCTGTGGGGTGTGGGGAAGGTCAGGGGAAGTGACAACCCCAACGTGGGGACTTGCACGGAAATCTCTCCATGGGTGTGCTCTAAGCATCCACATGCATCAGGCTTCCTGGTGCTCATCATAACCTTCTCTGCTAACCTTCTGATTTCATTGGGAAAAATGAAAAAGCCCCATGCGATTCAACGTGCAAAATTAAAACCTTCTATTAATTACTTCTTTTTACGGGAAAAGTATATCTAGGCTGCTATTATTGTGAGTGCGTCACTTCAGGGATTTGCACATTCCATTTCCATGCCACCCGGTGACTGAGAGGAATGCAGCTTTCAGAGCCCTGCTGACAGTGCCTTCACCGGCCACCCCGGGGGGCGCCACCAAAACCACCACGACCGAGCTGCAGCCTCGGAGTCACGGCTGGTTTGTACAGACCAATGACGTCCATCCGCCAGACGGCGACAGTGCCAATTACCTTCCAGCTTCTTCACCTTGGCCTCTAGTTTCTTCTTCCTGATAATAAAATGTTACAAGTTAAAATGGTAAAAAAAATATATATGCATATATATATATATATTATTATTATTATTATTATTATTATTATAAAAAATATGTATTACAGTTTGTGGTACATTTGCGTTTTTTTTAATTACTGAGATTTCTATACCAAAGAAAATGTCAGTTACAACGAGCATCCCTCGTGGACAACGACATTCCCAGTAACTGTCCTAAGAGCGGAGGCCTCCGCAGACAGCAGACAGCTTGCCTTCTGGAGTGCGTTTGTAGAACGCTCAGAAAACTGTCTTTTTGTCCCTGAGCCACAGGGACCTCATCGATGAGCGGAGCTGTTGTGTCCAGAGGGTCCTAGCGTCAGTCAGTCCAGTGTCCTAGGAGGCAGGGCTACTTCCGGAAGCCTGGAGGCGGCCGTGGCTGGGGAAGTGCCCTGGTTCTCGCATGGACTTCTGATCAGAGAAGGGGGGTGACTCTGAGTTACTGCCGCAACACACCGACCTTCAACTACTGGATGTGTAGGCTCACAAGGTTTCTGAACAACGTGAACACAGCATGAAACTTCAAAATAATCAAGCAGATGCTTCCGCACAGCCCCTTTTGGGAAAGGTAACAAAGGCGCCAGTCGCTATGGTACCCATTCAAGTGCTGGTTCAGAGACAGGAGTCGATGGCTACGTTTTCACAGACACAGCAGCACATTCTCTCTCTCTCTCTCACACACACACACTTCCACAGAGCTCCTTCTCTGTGCAGCCTGTTCATGTGTGAAGCTTACATAACCCCCCTTCGAATCCTTCAAGGCAGGTATTATTTCCATTTGACAGATATGGGAACCAAGGTTGAGAGGCTAATTTAATTCAATATCACAGTTAATTACAGCCAACAAACCCAAAGACAACGAACAGAGATGCACTACTGACTGAAGGCTTAGCTATTTTCAGAGATGAAAGCCCTGGTTCCACAGGCATTTTAAAAGTACTCACTGAGCATCAGTTTTCAAGCATTCTTCCTTTACACGGGCATATTCCTGATGAGTATCCTGATACAACTTTAGAGAACTCTGAAACAGAAATACATATTGTCAATTTGAAAGTCACTGACCATCAGTAACAATTTATTTTGACCTTGAAAAGCGAAATTACCATTTAACAGTATGAAGTTAACCAAATGAATAAATACATTAGGCAGGAAACCAATGTTCAATTCACTGAACACTTTAATGAACATAACCAGATCCTTAATAGACGTAAGATTAATAGTCTAATCAAACAAAGCTATAAAATTTAAAATATACAAATTTTATAAGGCAACTCTAAATCTTTATAAAACTAAATAGCTAATATTTCTGTCTCAACCAATTAAAATTCAACAAAACATAAAGAAATTTTAGAGCCTAAGATAAGCTATTGTTACTACTATGCAAAAATAAAAAAACAAGTCATTACACTTAATAGTAACTGCAAAAAGTGTGTTAACATCATCAACATATATACCCTGATGGCCTCTGTGGATGGGAAAGAAACTGTTACTGAGCATTCTATCATAGTTTAGTGTGTCTATGATACTTCTTTAATCATCACAGCTCTGAGAGATGGGCTTTATGACCCCTTTTCACAAATGAGGGGTCTGGGAGCTCCCAGGTGACCAAGTCTTCCAAAGTCACAGTGCGGGGAGATGGGGGTGCTGAGGGCTTGCCATTCAGTTCTGACCCCAGTGTGCCTGTCTCCTCTCAGGTGTGGCTGACAAGACCAGCAACAGAGGAAGACAGAAGTCAGTGGCATGGCTGTTTCTGTTTAACTTCTACTGTATAGTCAAATATGTAACAAAGACTTTCTACAGAAATAGGAAACTCAATCACTGGGAAAGTGCGAAGACTCAGAGAGGCAGATGGCGTTACTAAACTGGCACGATTTGAAGATGGAGAGGCCCCAATGCCATCGTGAGAAGAGCTTCGAGAACAGGAAGAGAGGCCAAGCATCATCCCAGCTTGCCGACAGCTTGTCTCATGTAAACCGCCTCACGTTATTAGGGCCAGGTTTGCCTGATCTTAAAGCTACGAATTCTCCTCTAACACTCCTATAAAGAGCCAAAATTTATACAAAAAAGTGAATTTATTTATAGCATTTTAAATAAACTGACTGCAACTTGATTTTAAAACGGAAAACATGATTTCTGTGCTTTTAGCTTTAAAATTTTGCCTCTTATTGTATACTTAAAGTAAAACAAACAAAAAAAGAACAAAGGGAAAAGGCAGTGAACGCAGGACACGCAGAGCCATAGAAGTTCACAGCCAGGAGGTTCCCCTACTGAACCTCTCATGCGGCATAAGCCACTGACACAGACTCAGAGCCAGTCACTACTGTGGGCACTGAGCCCCTAAACACGCCGTCAGTGTCCGCTAGACACAGTGACACACTTAGAGAGCAGCTCTTTCCTTTGTTGAGATACAGGCTGTCCCCTCACCCCGAGTATAGTACATAAGCAGCTCTCACTATCTGAAGATCAACTTCTGTGGGGAAATTACTTCAGTACCTTTTTCTCCTCCAGCTCCGCCTTTAAAGATCCCAGCTCTTCCTGACATCTCTGCAGAGGCGAGATTCTCTGAAGCATCTGTTCCACCTGCTGATGTAGAGTGCTGTTTTCCCTAAAAATGAACAATGCATTAACGTTATTACACTAAAGAGCCTGCACTAAACTAGTAGATATATCTACTGGTGATTTTCAGATTTGTTTCTAAACAAAAAAGGAATAAAATAATTTCTCTTTATAAGTGTATTCATTCCGTCTACATATACCAACATGATCTTCGTATTGCTTTTTATTTCTTTGGCATTGTGGCCGACTTCTAATAAAAATGTATCAGAAAGCCACCTGAGAAGCGAAGCCAGCAGCAGAGCATATTAAAGGGCAAGCTGCCAAATAATCGGCGCTTCTGATCTTGAACTCAGGCCTATTTAGTCCAATGAAAGGATACGTACGCCATTTTGTGATTTGGTTTATCATCATGTTTTTCCTTTTTTTTTTTGTGATAGATGTAATCAGAGTATAAAATATTGCTAAATTTTTACCTGTCTATTTTAAATTGTTTCCATTACACAAGATAAACAGCCACGTTAAACTGTCCAATTTACACAGACAATAATTATATAGTGACAAGCTTTGTCTCAATGGCAACGTGATCAGTACAAGCTATTGAAAAGGCAAACCAGGCCAGAATTTAAGACCTTAGTTAAGAAACTCATTTGGACAATTTAACAGTAATGCACATGCAAATCTTCTTTTATTATGAGCCTCAAAGCAACGTTCTGAATAATGGGTCAATCCTACATGACACTTTATTCCAATCTGTTTAAAAATCTAGGCTGATAAATGTCTCCCCCAAATCAACTATGAAAACAGATAGCTTACCTTCTGGCAAACTGCAGCTGTAAGACTTGTTAAAGAAAACTGAGAATTTTATCCCCTGATACTTGTCTGAAGATAAAACTTACTTTACAACATCTGTAATAATCTGTGTTCAATGTACATACAGGCAAAATCATAATTCCTAAAAAACAATATTCAAAGTCCCATCTATAACATACAACAGAGTGATAAAACTTTTTACTGAGTTATTCCTATTTATCCTAACACATACCAAAAGTCAAAAGGTCCACGTCTAAATTCTAAAAGGTATCTGATTAAATATATGATTACTATTAAATTCCAAGAATAAAGACAGTAAGAAACCAATGGGAAGTTCCTTGAATAAGCCTGTATATATCGGAGTCCCCAAACAACCCACCCTTCACTCCTCAGAGTCCAGAGCACCACTCCAGCAGAGTTCCATACTTACTAAAACCACATATCACTACATTCAATGAGAAATGAGACTAGAAAAACGGGCAGAACATGAAATCCAGCAAACCCTTCACTTTTACAATTTACACAATTTGATAAGTTCATTTCCCATCTCAAGCTCCCAATAAAATGTTCTAAGATAACAAAGAATAACGCCTTTAAGTTTCATCTCCTATAATTCCTACTCTCATACCACAATATAGCAAATATTTATAAACATGTCTGTATTACCCTCTATTAGAATGTAAGTTTCTCAGGATTAAGGAGTGTATTTTATTAATTCTAAATTACTGCAGTCTTTGTAAGAAAGAAAAGTTCAAAAGAATATCTGATGAAATAAAATACACTATGCCCTGCAGAAAGAGGAACTAATAAAACAACAAAACAGTCAGAATCACATAAAAAAGTAACAGATCAAGTTATTCAGGCAACTGCCAAGTGTGTTTAAAAAAAAAAATCACTATTTAACTATAGCTGAGGCAAAAGCAGATTACCACATCACAGAATGGGCATTTAAGAATAATCGAAAGTTGTATAATTTTTAAATAAATTATCCTAACAATTTTGATGATTTTACAAATTTTAGAAAAGCAAATCAATAATTTTCCTGCTTACCTGTGTAATTACCTCAAAAAGGTTGGTTATGCCATTTCTTCCAAAAGGATATAATAAACACATACTTTCCTAATATTGGAATTGTCTACCTATTTTCCTATGTAGCTAATTAAAACCATTTGCAGTAACTGTTTCTATAAGCTTTCATATGCAAAGATATTACTCATGGAATAATACAGAATTAAAGAGACTGATAGTTTCAAAATAAAGCATAAGAGATTTGAATGATCTATACTTTTGAATGTAAAAATTCAGATACAAAAAATTAAATGTTATGCCTTGATTTTACTGCTCTAACTGCACAAATTAGATATGGTGGTACCGAAGCATGTGTGAGCTCAAAGGCACCAGAAGAAAGCCAGGAGCATGTGGTGACGGCCCACGGTGGGCAGCAGGACCGGCCCGGTGCAGAGGGGCATCTGCACCAGGACTGGACACGGATGCGTGTCCTCAGGAGGACACTTTCTTTTCATGGGGCAGGTCCAGTTCGGGGGAAGGGTGATCACCACAGATGCGGGGGGACCAATCACTACTTTCACCCTGCCGGGGAAATATTTAACCAGAGGCCAACCACGTACACCGCTGGTGCGCTGCACGGTTACTGAACAAACGTGACCGTAAGCACGAGCATGGTCCTGTGAATACAAAGGACGCTGTGACTTGGGACATACACATGAACTCTTACAAGTCACTCACTGATAAACAGAAGTCAGTTCGGTGGCGTTCTGAGCATTCCCACACTGCCCTCCGTTCTTGCAGAAATCCCAGAGTTTTCTGACAGTATCCTACTCAGCTTCACATTACTTGTGAGCCTGAAGGATTTGTGGCCCGGCCTCAGTACCAATGAAATGACCTGCTACTCATTAAAAGGCTCCTATGACCCAGCAATCCCTTGTCTGGGTATCTACTCAAAATATCTGAAAACATTTATTCGTAAAGATACATGTACCCCTATGTTCACTGCAGCATTACTCATGGTGGCCAAGACAAGGAAACAACCAAAGTGTCTTTCAGTAGATGACTGGATAAAGATGTGGTTCACATATACAATGGATACTACTCAGCCATAGAAAAGATGAAATACTGCCATTTGTGACAACATGGATGGATCCTGACAATATCCTAAACGAAATAAGTCAGAAAGAAAAAGTCAAGAACCATGTGATTTCACTGACATGTGGGATATAAAACTGAAAGCAACAAAGGAACAAGACAAACAAAAACTCATAGACACAGACAATAGTTTAGTGGTTACCAGAGGGTAAGGGATGAGGGGTGGTAGAAGAGGGTCAAGGGGGTCAAATATATGGTGATGGAAGGAGAATTGACTCTGGGAGGTGAACATACAATGTGATATACAGAAGATGTATTACAGAATTGTACACTTGAAACCTATATAATTTTACTAACCAGTATCACCCAAATAAATTTAATTAAAATAACACTTAAAAAAAAGCTTATGGCACCTTAAGAAAATCAAAATCAATGACAAAAACAAAATAAATTATAAAATGAGGAGATGAGCAGTCTTTACCATGAAATTTATTAACAGTAAAAGACCAGCTGATTATTCTCCTTGTTAGAAATATTCCCTACTTTGAGCCTGTAAATACTGCCTTCCAAAAGATAACTATGAAAACTCTCACATTTCTTTAAGAAATCATAATTGAAAAATGCAATTGAAAAGGCCAGTAAAAGGATATCATCACATTTCTTCTGATACTCTGTTAACAAATTGCTGCAACAAAGAAAATAATTGTTACTCTTATTAATCTAGAAAACATACTGTGTTAAAATCAGGTTTCAAAATATGCAAGGCACCTTTCTTCCTTTGTAACAAATTTGTTTAATTAAATATATATACACACATACATGTTACCTCAAATTCCTTAAAACACAGCAGCATTATATGAGCTTTTAATTTAAAATCTCCTTGATCTAAGTAATATCTTATAAATTCATGTGACTTTTATAGAATTAAAAACAAAACAAAACAGAACATTAACTATCACAACATGGCTATGGAATAATGAGGACATCTGAAATCCAGTGCTAAAGCTAAGAAGGCTTTGAAACAGGAAACAGCTTTAAAAACATTTCCAGTTTAGCAAAAATCACTTCCTAACCCATGGACCTTGCTGTAAAGGCCCATACACAGGACTTTCATTATAATCATTCCCACACAGGCCTCAGAGGGAAACTCAAGTTCTCCTTTCAGACCTCTAGCTTGTTGGTCAGATTTACCAAGTTCAGCCAAACACGTGGAAACATACTCACTCTGTATTAATAATTTTTTGCTTCAAGGCAATTAATGCTTCAACATATTCATTTAAATTCTGAAAGAAAAAGAAACATTACAGTCAGCTACTTGTTTTTATAGATGACTTTAAATATAATTTTTTTCTGTAACATGTAATTTATGATGAAATACAGACATACTGTTTACTATGTTACATAACCAAATACGTAACTATTATTTATTTACATTGTACAGAAACACACAGATGTACTCTGTGTGATTTGAGCTTGCGCTGCCTCTCTCTGAATCCTTGTCTGAATGAGGGCACTGTGACCGATAGCACGGCACGGTGATCAGCTGTACAGACTCTCTGACTGGGTGCCTGATCAGTGAGCTGTCCTCCATGCACACAGGACTCCAGGAAGCATGGGATTCAGCCACGCCTCAGGGACACTGGTTCTCCTCCACCTGGCAGGAGAAGCTCTGCTTTTGGAAGAAGTCCCTGCCGGGGACACTGAACACCTAGGGCAGGGGGACTGGATGAGAACAGAGGGGCCAGGTAGACCTGTGCACAAGGGCTGCAGGACTTGCCTCCCCATGAAGCTGGGGACAGTGGCAGCCCATCCTCTGCCCTGCAGGCAGGAGGCCACACACTCTCTCTCGGGGGCTCTGAGGCACCACGGAGCCTGGAGATCAGCCCGAAGGCACTGAGGCCAGGTCCTCTTCACTCTGGGAAGCCCACCCAGCGCTGCTGCACTGAGGCTCGGGGCCCACAAGCCCCACACACTGGATGTTTCCAACCTGCACAATTAGCCACAGGGGTTCCAAACATCACAGAGAACTTGAACATGAGAGAGACACCAAAACCAATCAAAGCAACTGGGAGTAAGCAAAAACTGGGGTGAAAGCTTCAAAAATATTAATTCAGGGCTGGCCGAGTGGCGCGATGGTTAAGAGCTGGCTGGGATGCCAGAGGGCCCCGGTTCGGATCCCACATATGAGGGCCAGTGACACTGCCCTCTACAGCTAAGATGCTGAACAACAGCTCAACCTGGAGCTGGGCTGCCGTGAGTCACCGGCAATGGCGTAGGCTGTCTGTGGCAGTGGGTTGCCATGGGCTACCGTGTGTAGACAGCAGCCAGCGTGAGCGGCCAGCAGCCGCAGTGAGCGGCCGTCCAGAAACCGGCGACTGATCTGCCTCGCCAGTGAAGAGCGCGATGATGGTGCCAACTTGGGCCAGTGAAGCAACGTCCTCCACAACTAGACTGAAGAACAAAACGACAGCAACTTGTCTGTTCCCCTTCCCCCAATTCCCCAGCACTGTTCCCTTCCCCCCGATACCCCAATACAAATCTAAAAAAAAAAAAAAAATTAATTCATATGATCTGAGATACATTATGGCAAATTCATGAAACAAGAACTAGAAGCTATGTTTAAAAGGAATACTCAGAGCTCTTAGCACATTTTTTTAAAAGTTCTTAAACTTTAAGAAATTAAGCAGACGGGCCGGCCGAGTGGCACGTTGGTTAAGAACTGGCTTAGGATGCCAGAGAGCTCCAGTTCGGATCCCACATATGAGGGCCAGTGACACTGCCCTCTACAGCTAAGATGCTGAACAACAGCTCTACCTGGAGCTGGGCTGCCGTGAGTCACCGGCAATGGCGTAGGCTGCAGCTCCTGCTGCAGTGGGTTGCCATGGGCTACCGTGTGTAGCCAGCAACCGCTGTGAGTGGCCGTCCAGAAGCCGGCGACTGATCTGCCTCGCCCGTGAGGAGCGCAATGATGGTGCCAACTTGGGCCAGTGAAGCAACATCCTCCACAACTAGACTAAAGAACAAAAAACAACAGCAACTTGTCTGTTCCCCTTCCTCCGATTCCCCAATAAAATCTTAAAAAAAAAAAAAAAAGAACATAAGCAGGCACTCGTACAGCTAAAATCAAAATGACAGGCGGTCACAAGTGCGGTGAGGACGCAGAGGAGCTGGAGCCCTCGCACACCGCTGGGGGCTGTGACACGGTCCAGCTGCTGTGGGGAGCGTGAGGTCCTCCACAGGCCACAGAGCCACCACAGGCTCCAGCAATCCCACTCCTAGGTAAACACCCAGGAGGACGGAACGCGCGCGTCCAGGCCAAACTGGTCCTCTCTTACTTATAACAGCATTATTCATGTTAGCCAAAAAGTGTTATAACAATAAACTCAGTGTCCATCAACCAATGCATGGATAAACAAAATGGCCTACAGACATACAATGTGATGACTTTGCAATGAGAAGGAATGAATGACACGTGCTACAACATGGATGGATCTTGAAAGCAGTGCGTATGTTAACTGAAAGAGCCAGTCACAAAAGGCTACATGCTGTATGATTTCACTCACATAAATTGTTTATAACAGGCAAATCTGGAGACAGGAAGTGGATTAGTGGGGAGGGGGTGGGGCGGGGAGTGCCTGCTGAAACTTAGAGGATTCCTGGGGGAGATCTGGGGTGGGGAGTGGGGATGACCAGGTTTCAGAATTATAACACACAGTGGTGATGGGACTGGGTAGCTGTGGATGCGCTGAAAACCACTCAACTGCACACACTAAAAGGAGGGGTTGGATGGTAAGAGAACTGTATCTCAACAAAACTGTTACCACTAAGTTAAAAACAAGCAGAAGACTCAAGATTTGATGATACAGTTGAAAGCAATGTCCCCCCAAATAAAGCAAACCACAGGCACGGGAAAGAATAAAGAAAAGAAAAACAATTCAAGTGTCAGTGCAAGAGGTCCCACAAGCCCCACAACAGGAGTTCCAGAGAGAGGATAATGGAAAAGATGGGAGATAAGCGAAACAATGCTGATGTTCATGAAAAACATCCCAGAAATGAAACCAGAGGTTTCCAAATTGAAAGGGCCCAGCACATGAATCCAAACAGGCTCCAAACCATGACATATCAGCACAAAATTTCAGAGCATCAGCGACAAAGCAAAGAGCCTATAAGAATCCTGAGAGAAAAATAAAATGAGACAAGTCACATACAGAGAATCTGGACTCAGAATGGCTTCAGGCTTCAACAGCAATCTAGAGGCCTAGGAATCTAGCTGGACCCAGAAAGCAAGCCTTCAAAACGTTGAAGACAAATGAGTTCCAAGGTAAAATTCTGCACAAAACGATCCATCGGCCATGATGGTGAAGCAGACATTTTCAAATCCAAGATCCATAAACTTTCTTCTCAGGAGTCCTTCCTCAGGGAGGCTCTGAGGTTGTGGACAGGCTGCGCCATAATCATGGGATAAATGAGGGGACGAGGGGGGACACGCAGAGCTAAGGAGAATCTAGGGGGGCGGCTGAGTGCCAGATGAAAGACAAAACCGACAGAGCATCTGGAGGCATGAAGGCATGAAACGGTACTTCTAAGTGGCAGAAAACCGCAAGAGCTGAGTGTAGTTGGTTTTCAGCATGCACTTCAATTATGGTTATTTTTTAAGTTAGAGCCATTCCTCCTTTTTTCCCCACTGTTTCGCGTTTTTTGCCAGTGAATCTCACCCTCCCCACCTTTTGCTGGCAGACACCATCTGTAACGCCAAGCAGCACGCCAGGGACACTCCAGAAACCTCCACTGCAGCCGCACACAGCTGGATTCCAATGCCTGTCCCTCCACTTTCTGGCTGAGTGGCCTTGGGCCCACTGACCTGACTGGCTTAACCTCTCCCGCCTCTGGACCATCCCAACGCGCAGGAAGGAGATAAATACGGGGAGGCTGCAACTGGCCTGCCATCAGGATTAAAAGGACAAGCCCAAAGAAAGCATTCCACAGAGCCCCTGGCCTGCAGTGAGCACGCCGCTACATTTTTAAGGCCAGCAAGCTGAATTAAGGGTGTAATCATTAACCAGAAGAAACAAGAAAACACACAGGAAAGGAAAAGTAATCATAATTTACTCCAGTTTAGCTCTGAATAAGATATAGTTAGGTCAACTCTGCTAGTGACCTAATCGAAACCACAACTACACTGGGGGCGGGGAGGGGGGGAGAGGGTTAGGTGTGGTGGGGAACAGGGCTTCCAAAGTCAGAAACCGGACAATAAGCCTCAAACTGAAAAGCAAGAAGTAGCGAGTCTATTATTTAACAACGTGAAGCTCAGTATGAAACGCACACAGGATAATTAAAAGCATTGTCTTTTGGGAAGGGGGCTGGGGGAGCTGGGGACTGCCGGCTGTCTCACAAATCCTGTACATTTAGCTGTCTCTGAGCTATGTCCCTGCAGGACTCTAATGAAAGTAAACACTAAAAATCACAAAACACAGCACTGCACGGACACACACACGAAGTGACGGCGGCTTCTCGGTCTCCTACAGCTCTCTGGCTCCGGGCTCACTGTGTCCTAAAGCCTGGCTGGGTGGCAGCGCAAACGCTCTCCCCTCTAATCTGACTCAAATGTCACTTCTGTTGGCTGCAACAAAGGCCTCCAACTAAGGACTCTCAGAACTGGGACCGCGAGAGGCTGCCGAGGAGGCGGGCACTGGGCCCGCACCTTCCTCAGGACTGCACCCGCTGTGCCCCATCGCCTGGCCTCTGGGGAAGGAAGTGAGGTCGGGGCGCCCTTCAGGCCCAGGGAAGGCTGGGCGGGCGCTGTGCCTTCTCTGAGGACCGCTGTCTCCCAGCGGGCCTGCCCTCTTCTCCTGGAGCTTCTGTTATCACATCGGATTTACCCCGATGCTCGCTCCTCTCCTAATGCCATCCTGGTCTTCTTTGCCCTCTGGCTGGGTTCGTCCCTTACTTGTCACTGGGTCCCTAAAACAACGCCCGGAGCAGCCCATTGTTACTCAGACTCTTGCTCCCCACCGACCCCTCTTTTCCACAGCGCAGCTTTAATTTTCTCTACAATCTCCTGGTGTCGCTGTAAATACGTATCACTGAGAAAAAGCAATCCGCTCTGGGTCTCCTCTCTTCCCTTCTCTTCTTGGGGACATGGCATCAGTGTAGTGGCCCAGCACACAGGAGGGGACAGTCTTGGCAAGGAGCAAGCCAGCAGGCCTGGGGGCTGAGGGGCTGACAGAGACGGCCAGTGTAGTTTAAAAAATGGTAATATAAACAAATAAGTAAAATATGGATA